ACGATCCATGGTGTGTCTCCAATGAGACCCTTCACAGAGACCTTGACATCCCTTACCTAAGGGACTACATCAAACAACAAGCGCAGCTGTGTTATAGTGAAGCGAAATCGCATAGCAACCCTTTGTTGCGCGAGTCAGTAGACTTCATAGTGGAGCAACTTCGCAAGCACACAAGGCCGCAACTTGCACTGTGAACAAAATTAAATCGTGCGATTTTAGGTCCAACCAAAATTATAACTTTTCTTCAACAACCAATCTCTAAGTTAATTTTAGGATCAATTCAAAATTGCCGAATACTAATTAGCAATACCAAGACACCCCTCAAATTGACGCACTTCCTTTTTCTTTGCTCGCTCTCCTTCCTTCCCCCCTCTATTTCTTCTTCCCTGCTTTCTCCCCGACTTTGTCTGGTATATGGGCAACCAGACCTGACAGACCTATTGACTTACAAGACTTTAACCAAGAGCAAAGGTCCTACGGACCGCTCTGACAGACAATGACGGATAGAATAGAAGTCAAAACTAAGGAAGCTGATTTTTTTTCATATTCATTATACAACAAAACTACATGATATGTAATGTATACCTATTTTTTGAATTGATATATGTACATTGATCAATGTCAAATCGCAAGATTTTCAAATATACACAAAAATATACAATTTGAATTGCGCTAGGTGAGGATGACACATGATATTTTGCTAATTTTCAAGCATATTTTACCTAAATCTAAATAGTTACCTTATTTTCATCATATCTTCCAAATATTTTACACAATTTGATGGTTTATTGCCACAACGTGTCTATTTGGTTAAGATTTTGATGGCGGAACATTGAAACCCCAATACCCGCTGCTAGTGCTTGTAGATGATAAGGTACAGAGGCCATTATTCTTCCTATTATATCCTACACATTTTCAATGGGAGAAGGGTTTTTAGATCTAATAGGAGGCCAAGAAAGAACAAAGCTAACTTTAGCATTATTCAGGCAGTTCATTGTAGTTCAAGCAATATGGGGACAAACATTATCTTGTTATAAAATAGTATTTTCAAACGTTTGTACCACATGTACATAGCTTGTGAAGTACATTCCGTTTGCACCGAATTCAGTAAGGCTTTTGACCATCTGGTCTATAGTAGATCAAGAAATTTTGAAAGTTTTTTTGTAGACATGTGCTACATTTTTAAATTATTGAATAATATAATCGATTCTTCCGAGCTTTAGGTTATTTCTATTGATGATTATTGAACCAGGCTGGATAGGTATATTTTTAATATGTGAATTATAAATACACCGTAATTGAGATTTTTATTGATAGTCGTCAAAAGCAATCTTGTATGAACATTTAAGTCTTGTATCTGTCCTAGTTTTTAAATATTTTATTGCAACATGGTTTACCGTCGAATTAAATAAATGAATATGTAATGGCGCGACAAACCATAACTCCTTCAGTGAGGTGCATGTGAAGTTTTATTCATAACAAATTATTTTGAGTGTTCTATTTTCTTTACCAGTGAGGATAATAACACATTTAGGTTGGCAGCGCAACCTGAAAGTTAAAGTTGAAAAGTAATAATATAGCTTTCCTTCGACCACAGACCAACCATGTAGAGCTGTTTCGTGGTAATGAAAACTCATCAGCATGGTCTAGGCCTGGTCTCAAGTAGTACAATCAACGAAAGCTGAGTAAGATGGCACTTTGCATTGTTTTATTATCTCAACCATTTCAAAAAATGGTATTTCATTCTCAAACGTTTGAAACTGAACAACGCTGTGCTATTCTGAAGAATAAGTATTGATCCAATTATGCAAAAGATATTTCTTGTTACCATAACACTATAGGAATACAAACTAATCGCCACCTAAGTGCTTTCCAAGAATACCATTGTTGAGGGAACAGCGACCATATTGTAAAAACGGTTGACCTGGCCTACTAAAAGATAATTAACAACAAGGGTTTTGACAAATGATAATGAATTTTCCGATATTCATTCATAAAAGAATGTGCGTGACAGGTCGAATAGGCGTGCTCGATTCCTATCTAGCGTAACAGCCTTAGCACGAATGGGGAAATCCTTGAAAAACACCGGTGATCATAGACGTAGAAAAGTTACACTTTTTGAACTTTATTCGAGATTTGTCGTGTTGCTTCTTGAGTCAATATCTGACAAACTCGCACCGCATCTTCTATTTTGTGAATCACACTCATTTGAGAAGTAGAGCAAATTCGTGAGCACCTTATTCTGGAAGCTAGTAAAAGTTGAAAATTAGGTTCCCAACGAGTTCAGATTAAGTTAATGAAGCTAGCCCATGATTTGTTTGTCTCCAAAATCTCAGACTGTAGTCGGGACGAAAGTGCATTCAGATTTTCAGTGTTATTTTTCCAAAATTCGAGTGTTTGTAGATCATTCTGGTACTAGACTATTGCAGGACGTGGTACTTCTTGCAAAATTTGCAAAGAGCACCACAAGCCTAATGAAGGTAGACCTTTCCACCGGAAAGTAGGTATTATGATTACATTGGTACAAAGTTGTCCCTTTGGGAGGCAATGGTAGTGAAATGAATCAAAAGTATGCACTAGAACTATTCTAATCCGTTGGGTGTTCCGAAAATTTCTGCCCTTGCCGATATCAACCATGCACGCCCATCTTCATTAGATGGGTACCTGGGATCATTAATAATTATTCACTCTACCATTGAATCTATACATGCTGGTCTTGCAAATGGACTATGCCAAACACGATTTATGTTAATGTGTTGAGATGTAATTGTGTATCTATCCATGGCTGCTGATCAGGTAGATTCACGCCACTCAAAATGCTGATCACGATCTTTGTGAATTTACCAATGTTTAGGTGAAATATTGATTTATGCATCCCAAAACGTGCAGAGCAGTATGTACTTCGATAGTTTCAAATTTGGTAATTGAGATGCTTTGGACCTGAAGTACTTGCTTGGCCTTGTAGGGTGCTAGGTCCAAACAATTTTAGCACAGAACCAGAAGAACTGTGTTATCCTTCTTTCTTGCTTTTCGATTATCAATATAAGTGAAAGTTTTGTGGATTAAAACTCCTACAAGGAAACTTCTAACATTTAAAACCTATATTTCGTAATGTATGAAAATGTTTTATGTACCCATTTATTTTGTGATGGGCCATGAAATACATGGAAAGAAACGGTACTTTGCATCTTGAGAACAGGGAAATAAGTCTTTGGCGTCTAGGGAGATGCATGTTTTTTGTCAACTCTCTTCAATACCTTTTAAATTGCAACTGTTCAACGATATTAAAAATACATGGTTTTCTTTGCTGTAAAAATAAACTCTTACGTTATCTTTTCGGAAAAGCACGATTATGCTATTTTCAAGCTCATTGAGGGGAAGCAACATTATTTTCATTATTTTCACTCTACAAATTGAAAATATAAAACTGTGTAAATTCTCTCAGATAATCACGAAAAATAAAGTTGCCTGCTTTAGACGCAAAGCGGCATTCCCTTCAATTACAATTATTAGCCGGCCATTCAGAAATTCCGAAAAATCATTTGAAACGTTATCTGATTGTAAGTAGAAGGTATACATATTTTTTATGTTATGTTGACCATTTATAAGTTCCAAGCACACCAGCTTCACTACCTGTAGGAATGTACTACGTGTTTGGTGAAGACGCACTTTTCAATAGCACATGCAGAAGAAGAATATCAAACGGGTGAATTTCAACTTCCGATAAACCGAGCTATGAGCGATATTTTTTGATTCACGACGATTCTGGCGAAAGCAAGTTAAAGTACACTCTAAGAAAAAAGGATGGCGATGTTTAGTAGAAACAATAATTATTCGACTGCATTTTATTTTTAGTCTACATACTGCTTTGGTGACCATACTGCAGACCTCCATACTTTTCAGACCTAGCACCCTCCGACTATCGTCGGTTTTTGTCGTTGCAAGATCATTTGTAGAGTAGAGAATTCAAAAACGAAGACTGGTTTACATTGCATTGTTTGTCGCCAAAACTGCGTAGTTTTAGTGCATACTTTTGACGCATCTAACTACCAATATAATAATACTTAACGATGGAATGATCCAGCTTCATTAGACCGCTGTAAACCATGTAAAAAGTAGCATGTCCTGGAATCGTTTAACAACATAGTTATTTGTAAGCACTCGCACTTTCAAAAAATAACACTAAAAATACGTTTTTAATAACAGAACTGTCTAAAAATAGACTTATATCAACAAGCCGAAGGTAAGAATAAAATACTTAAACGTTGTCGAAAGGGCCACTAAAGGCCTTAAATTTTGTGTCACCTTGGCCATCCAAGAGTTCTAAAAAATCGTAACCACCGAATTGGGACACATCATCCCCATTATTTTTGAACTATCTCCGCGCAAGGGTATAATCGAAAATTACGGTCTTCTAACATATGTCTTGTTTAACTTTCAATGTTGAGATTTCAACTTCACTGTCAAAGAACCGAAGATATCTTTCATTTATAAGACGTAATTCTACTGACAAGGTATACTTATAACTCGTATTAAGGTTCTTGAACCTACTACGCGTACCTTCTTACTTGCTCATTAACTCATCATAACTTCGTCAGATGCCAGTAAGCTAAGGGGAGGGGGGATGCAGTAGTTGCAGACCCCTCATTACCCTGAATGTCTACGGTTGTGACCCCTCTCGAAACCTACGGTCCTCTATAAGCTGAAGTTCTAGAAACGCCACTGTATATAATATCATTTTACATCTATTAAGTATTAAAATGAAAAATTGGAAATATTTTATTACATTTGATAAAAAAATATTAGATCTCCGCCTATGAAGTTCCCCCCAGCAAACGCCAACCTCGCGTCGGCTAGAAGTGAAAGCGAAATCTAGCCGGCTTTGACTCTGTGAAACACTCCCAAAGAGACTCGCATACCAGGTCAAACATCATTGAACCAAAGTTGAACATCTTCTCGTAACTTCGATAATACTCCAAAACGTCGTTTTTGTGTTGCAGAAAAATGGCCCCCGTCTACAAAGTTCACTACTTCGATATCCACGGAAGGGCCGAGCCTATCAGGTTGTTGCTAACATACGGCAACCTGAACTTCGAGGATAAGCGTTATTCTCAGGAGGAATGGGCCAAGTTCAAGCCATGTAAGTATGAGATTATTTTACTTCAGTTTTTTTAAAGACAGTATAACTTCTATTTACCTACCATATTGTATCGTGTACTAGCATAGTGTTAGAAACGACCTACGTATGTGAGCATGTTCAGACAACGTAAAGCGGTCCAGTGATGCAGAACTATTACGCTGAATAGCTCAGTTTGACAACGGCTTTTACTTGGCTGACAAATTTGATGACGCAATTTTAAGCGAAGAATCGTGATTAACCGCGGTTATTCTTACACAAACCTAGACCTGAGAGCAGGGTTGCTACATGCAACTGTTTTGTGGTCCAATTTCAACGATTAAAAATATAATTCAAATATATGTAAATTATCTACGTTGATATTAACAACGTAATTAATTTTTGAATTCTGCTAAGAGAGCAATAGAAACTCAGTAATCCTATGTCTGTTCTCATCTGATCGTTTTCTTAACTGTTAACTTTTTACGGAAAATTATCTCACAGACAACACAAAAGAATAGGAAAAGGGTTATGTTATATTCATGGGTTGACATATAAGAACGGTACGGCACGGGTATTATGTAAAAAACCTATAGAACCCCAAATGTCATCTCGCAGAATAGATAGTTTTTAGGGTGCAAACAGCCATTCCACGTTTGCTCACTAGAATCGTTGTGAGCGTCCATCTATGGAGGTACACAACAACAACACGCATTGTTGGTTGCATATAATTTGTGAAGCCGGGTAGCTGTGCCTGACGGGTTATTTATATGTACGAGCCCCTTCCCACTTCAGTTGGACCACTGCAAGATTTGTACCAAAATATGCCTTTATAAACTAAACATGACGAAACTATTTACTTCTAAAACAATTTATTTTCTCAAAAACATTTTAGATACACTCTAGTCGTATAAAATACATATTTGAAATCACTTAGACCTATAACTAATAGAACATCTGAACAAATAAACAATGTGCGAATAAATGCGCGAAGTTAACAAAGCAAAAAGATTAACATTGGGTAACATCACCTTTATTTTTTATTACGGCTGAAATTCTTTGGGGCATAGTGTTAACCAAGTTTTGGCAAAAATTTGGCGTAAAACAATCCATATTTCTTGAAGCTTTTGTCTCAGTTCGGTGATTGTACGAGCAGGATGTTGTCGTAGAACCTTTTTCAGCTCGTGCCACAAAGTTTCAATAGGTGACAGATCTGGACTGCTAAAAACCCATTTCAAAAGTGGTACATTATTTTCTTCCATCCAATTTATAGCCTTTTTTGAGGTATGGCACCATCTTGCTGAAACACAAAATCTTGGCCGGATGTCAAACATTCTTCCATCACTGGTAAAAGCGATTCTTCTAAAATTGCCAAATATTTGATTGTATCCGCATTTCCATCAATAAAATGAAATTTTTCTACTCCTTTTGATGACATACTGCCCCAGAGCATAATGGATGCTGGAAATTTCACTTTTCTCTTCAGACAGTCAACATGGAATGCTTCATTTTTTTGCGAATAAATCTACTGCGACTATCACCAACACAAACTTTGAATGGGCCTCATTACTCCATTGTATTGCACACCATTGTTGAGGTGTCCATTGTCTATATTCTTTAGCCCATCTAAGCCGATTTTTCTTTTGCAGTGGACTTAATAGTGGCTTTTCTTTGGCCTATAAACAAGTTGTGCATCTTTAGGGTTTTTACTTCACTTTTTTTATAAGAAAACATACCTTGCAAGTGCTAAATCCCAGTTTGTGGGCCTCTCTATGAGTTGCGTACCTCGAAATTCTGCTTCCAACAGCGTCACTCCACAGAGTACTTAATTGTCCATAATTGGCACGCCTGTGTTTCACGATTATTCTTCTTAATGCTCTTCGGTCGGCATTTGTGATATTACTTTTTTTCACATATCGTGGCTTAATATTAACTGAACCAGTCACGTTATATCTTCTAACAATATTTCTCACAACTGTTACGCGATAAGTCTAACAAAGTTGCAATTTCTGAGTTTGATTTTCCAGAATTAAAAAAATTAATTATCAGTAACCGAATTTTCTCTCAATAACCTTTCCTCTACCCATTTTGAAAACCTTAACTATCCAAAACTATTTTAAACGTATTCTGACAGCTGTGATTAATTAAAACAATTGTCATGGCTTTTATTTTTCACAGCCACGATGCGTTATAGACTTATTTTGCATTGAAATGAAAATAGGTTGATATGCTGTAATTGAACATGTGTTATTTTTATGCTGCAAATTTGATTCGGGAGTGATAAAGTTGGTGTTTTCTACTATATATTATCAAAATATCCATTGTTTATATTTTAAACCTATAACACCCTGCTACATTTTTATTATTTGTGTTTGATAAGAAAAAACTAAGATTTCAATAGTTGCCCCAACTGAAGTGGGAAGGGGCTCGTATGTTGTCGTTTCTGAAGACATGTTATGTTCAAAGTGATACATTACGATTTTTTACGTTTTTTTTTTTGTTTTCAAAAACTTTGAGGAGAATTACGGAAAATCACCACCGCGCCCACGTTGTTTTGTAGAAAAACTTACACAACGTCACAAAAAACCAATACGATGTCAAAAAAATCCACATAATGTCACTATTCAAGATCCGTAATACCCGTCCCGCATAGAAACCACCAACTGCATAAAGAGTTATTATAGGCCCTAAATGTCATAAGACATGAAGTGACAAAGGGCCAGTTGGTGACGTCATCATTTGACAGGTTTTACAAACCATATGGCTTAAAATGAAAAAGTCAAGACCAAGCACGACTGGTTATGATTGGTAAGAATTAAAATTGTTTATAGTATTGTTCATTAAATGTTGCGAACTACCCAAGCTATTCCACGACTGCTGCTATTCAGCGTAGAAGTGCAGCACCATTGGACTGCTTTACGTTGACTGAACGCCATCATTGATTAACATCTTTAAGCAAAAGGTACCCAAGTCAATTGAAAGCCAAGCCTGCGCGAAAACAGACATACCCACCCTGGCGCCGCCATAATCTCATGCTCACAACTATGTATGTGCCGACCACAGTCTTTAGGTGCCAGTTTTGCAATATCTCGGTTATGGCATTTCCATTCTCGGCGTTCAGAAATTCTGATGAGAATACGAAATCTTAGGAATAGATTTGAAGCAGGTTGAGGGGTAATATTTTCTTGAATGGCTGGTGTCATGATTAAGAATAACCATTTTTCCGAAGGAAAATCGAGTCTGTTTTCATTACTTCTAAGCTGTGATACGGCATGACAACATTGCTGTAACGACCGATCTGCTTAGGACCAGTATTTCAATATATGGTTGAAACTCGCAAATTATTAATTAGTTGTCCGTAAATTTGTTTTTTAAATTCTGGTTAACCAACCCGCAGCTATTGATCTGACAACACTGCTTCTTCATCTCAACTATCGTGTTCTGAGTGTTTTATGACGCTCGACATCACTGTCAAACAAAAGAGGTAAGGAATTGCGTTTTAACTTTCTTTTTAACGGTTAATGTCTGATTAGGAGTAAAATCTCAGTTGACCTGCAATTGAAAAACCGCAAACATTAGACAAATGAAGTTTCTATTAACAAAGTCGCGAGGAATCACACGGAAACTGCTATCTTTTACTTACAAAAAATGGTTTATTTAAAAGCATTCGTCAGTCTACCAAAAGCATATTGAACAAGAATTGTCCATGCGCTCTACTACAGCAAAATTGAAGCTTTAAATTTTCAGCAGCCTTCTCAAATCTAATACAGTCCATGGCTAATAATAGCTAGTCGGCAATTTTGAATCTTTAGGAACACATTACATTATGGAGTTAATGGTATTTTTTTTCAATTACAGCAACTCCTCTTGGCCAGATGCCATGTCTCGAAGTAGACGGTAAACTTATCAACCAATCGACACCGATATGCAGATACCTGGGGAAAGTTGTTGGTCTTGGCGGCAAAGATAACTGGGAAGACTTACTTATTGACGTGGCTGTTGAAAATTTGGGTGACCTTCACAAAAGTGAGTATTTTTCAAACTAATGAAATACTAGTGACAGTAGTGATAGGTAGAGTGTGTGTGTGTGTGTGTGTGTGAGTGTGTGTGTGTGTGTGTGTGCATGGCATTTTTGCAACAAAAAATCTAATATTCCTGGCCTATTATTTGAATAGGAATTACCAACGAATGCTGCCGCCCTATTCTCAAAAGTTTCAAGCTCCCTAGTTTCTCAATATACCTATAACGATTGCTTTTTTCAGAAATTATGGAAATGGCATTTGAGCAAGATGCAGGGAAGAAGAAATCTATGGAAGAGGATCTAGTAAAAAAGGATCTTCCATTCTTCCTTGAAAAATTCGAAGAGACTGCAAAGAAAAATGGTGGATACTTCGCGCTCAACAGGGTCAGTAGAATAGAAATGCAGAAATAGAAAAATTAGAAAGTACTTATAATACGTTTCCTAATAGAATGCCCATCTACGTTTTCCTTTTTTTTTCAGTTAAGCTGGGCCGATATAATGTTCACCTGCGCTTACGAGACCTACAAGAACGTCATTTCTACTGATGTTTGGCCAAAATATCCCAATCTCTTGAAGGTAAAGGACAATGTTTTGAAGGTCCAGTCACTTCAGGATTGGATCAAAAAGAGGCCTGCCAACAAGATGTTCAGCAAATTCGACCTCAAGCAAGAGCTTTAATAAATCACTGCTGCATTTTGATGTTACAGTATTATGTAATTTTACAATTTTGATTTTTGTAAAATTTTTAAACATTTTATATCATTGGAATGAAAGTATAACCATTATAAGTTTACAAAATCTGAATATACGAATTGTTTGAATGTTGACTACGTTTATGCTACTGTTATTTATCAAATAATTCCTTGTTTACCTGATTCACAGATTATACAGATGCGACACCTGCTGTCGGTCCATTTGAACTTCGTGTCCCCAATCCTTATTCGTTTGCAACTTGTAAGAACAATATTTCAGAATATCTACAGAATCTCATGATTCTCAATTTAGATTACAGGTCTGTGTCAGCTTTGTTCTGCATCGTTCAACTAGTTCTCGATAGATGGCAGAAATTTTATTGAATGGACTTAATTCCACTAATATTTAGCTTAAAACAAAGTGGTTTCACGTTACTCCTCCCTCAGATAGCTGTTGCCACGCCTACTTTCCAAGTTAAAACCGCATTGTTAACTAACAAAGAGGGTACGATTTTACTGAACTCCTCCCTCTTTTCCCAAGCCGACTTATTGAAATTAATAACTGTGACAAATATCAACCTGTCAAGGTGACGTGAATATATAGGTTATGGGTTATGGTTTGTAAACATTTATTATTTGTTGCTAGTATTAAACAAAGTAACAAAACTTAGAAATCGGCCTTTGCCAAAATACCTAATAGTTATTTCTACGTTATGGATCCCCATCAAAGTTCTTACAGAAAAGTATTATCTGCTGCGGTAGCTAGTGTCCTGCTAGAAACTGGATTTGATACCGTTGATAAAGACTGTCTTGGAACATTAACAGAAATGATGCAAGCATGTAGGTATTAACTGTTTCGATATGATATCTGCTCCAGAAATATCCTCTTGAATTGATCCCTAAGAATCGTTACTACTCCTTCATGTTTTACAAATATTGTAGACATATGGTAACTTTATGGTAAAAAGGGTATACGTCAAACACCATAGAAAATGAGATTAATATCCCAAATACTTTATAGCTAAGCAAAGTAGTTTTTTACAAGAAATTTCGTCTTTAACTATAATCACAGATAACCATACCCTTCAACATTTAAACTAGTGTAAATTTTAAGTTCTGCAACATACTAAAATGAAATCTTTTTGGCCTTTTATCTCTGCTTCAACATTTGTGAGACAATCCCCTTACAGTCACCATATATCTTCAAAACTGTTGCTTCTGAGAATGACATTTGTTTCAGTTACTTGTGAAATAGCCAATTTGAGTAAGAGTTACTGTGAGCTATCTGGACGTTCAGAACCAATCATTGCTGATGTTATATTAGGATTTGTCGAAATGGGTAAGATATCAAATATACTTTTTCCAGTTGGACTGTACCACACCGGAATATCTGATTTTAGGATTCAATTTCAACAAATTGGACAGTTATATCAAAGGAATGAAGCACACACATCTACCAAATCTACAACCACAACAGCAACAGAAGTTATACAACATGTTAGCAGCAGGCACAAAGCAACCTTTGCCCCCACATATTCCACAGCATTTACCACAGTTTCCTGATCCACATGCTTATGTCAGAACTCCTGTGAGTATATATCTTTCTAAAATTAAACAAAATCTAGAAATATCAATACTTTGATCATCTTCCTTCTGTCAAAAAGATAGCACCAGATATCACAAGAATAAATAAGCTGAAGCCTTGTTAAATGTTTCTGAAGTATAATAATCTCATGAAGCTACCACACTAATTTTGTCCAGTATGTAATTGCAAGGAATTTAGCATCAACAATCACAATTATTTCCAAAAGTTTTACAACCCATAATTTAGCATAATAGTAATCATTGGTTACATAGACAAATAGACAAAGACAGTTCTGTGGTTGGAACTCTATTGGATATCTTAATGTTATAAAATTAATGGAAATCAGTCTTGGTAATGTTTGATATGCTGTTTTATATGTAGCACAGTTTATATTTTTTAAATTATAGAATTATGAATGAGCTGATTATATTAGAATTTTTTTTTTACAGACACACAAACAACCAATAATTGATTATGAATCTGTAAGAGAAAAAGCTGCTATTCAAAAGAGGGATATAGAGAAAGCTTTGACCAAGTTTTTGGCCAAAACAAGTACTACTCACAACTTGTTTGACAGTGATGAGGCTAATATTTTTCCTTGTAAGTACAAATTATTTTTTCTTAATAACCACAGTATGAGTATATGTTTGTTGCACAAAATCATTAAGCATCATTGGTGATATCTGCAGAGAGAATTAAAAGACATGGCTAATCAGCATTTTGATATTCTTAGACCCCTAAGAAATTTGACCCAAAAGTGCTATCAGAGTTTTTTCCTTCTGGGATCCATCTGACCAAAGTCCTCAAAGGGGGGGAGGGTGGTCTTATTGTGCCTTGCTCATTGAATTTATACCTAATCCATCAGTCTAGTATTCTGTACCAGTTAGTACAGTACAGTTGCCCTGCCAGTAATGTTCTAAACTCCATCCATTCTAGTTTTGTTTTTTCAAAGAGTTGATGTGATTTGTGATCCAGCAGCTCACTCTCACATAAGACATGTAAAGCTAATTCTCTTCCTTTTGCACATTGTCTTCAAGTCCCTGTAATACAGCCGTTATGTCCTGTTGCAAGGCCTCTATCTACATGTAGTTGGTTTCTACTTATTGGGAGCAATTTAGCATCCATATTTAGACATGGTCCCGTAATAAATTATTTCCCATACCTGCATCCAGTCACTACGTGCCAGTATGCCTTGTGCTGGTTTCTTACCCAGTCTTTCACTTCATTCCTTATTGTGCTTTTGGATAGACTATGAGCATGTATAGTGTGGATGATCTCAGAGTTAAAAGATGTCAAAAGAATGCAATTTGGAATAAAAAATATCTCCTTCAACAAAGAAATATTTATTGCACTCTAGACATTGAGTCTACCGCAAGAAATTAGGATGATAGAAAATAAGATACCTTAGCATCATCTAGAAGAACTTGTCGGCTATTTCTCTATTTACTATATATACTTTGAAAATGTTAGCGTCTCATAGATGGCGCTGCCTATCTGAGCAAATAGGGGATGCTATGGTATCTCATTTTATTTCGGATAATTTTTTAGTCACGAGAATGTGGTATTAGGCTGGCTATCTTCAGGTAAAATACGTTAATCACTGGTTTAGGATATTTTTATTTTTTGTTGCTTATACCTGGTCCACAACTGAACTCCTTTTAAAACTTATGAACTTTTCTCTTGTTGGCATAGTAAGTTTGTGTCAAAATGTGAATAGACATACCATATTACCCTTACATCCCATGAAAGTATCAAAAATATCAAAGAATTGGTAAATGCTCTTGATCAATCCTATCCTTGATCATTAGTAGAGGAACTATAAATCATTGCATTGTTACGCAGCACGTAACACATTGGAAAGCCCATATGATCGCGGATGTTATACTCACGTTAACGTAAAGCAGTGACGTAACAGTAGTTGATCCTTATTCCAATGTGGGACGTGCTACGTAACAAAGCACTGTAACATAGGCCACGCGAAAATTTTGTCAACTATAGTTCCCTGTGTTTAGTCAGGTTTGTATTCCAATATTATTTTACAATTTCCAGTAATTGCCTGCAAACCTTCCCATCCGCCATACTTGAGCGCCTTGCTGCCTCAAGACCAAATATTCGATCCTGAAGATCTAGATGTTGACCCCAAGAGCCAAATAGTACAACAGCAAAAGAACCATGACAAAGCAAAGAAAAAAAAAGAAATCAAAAAGGAAGTAAACACGGAACCAGTTGAAAACATGGATGAGACACAAAATGAATCCATGAAAAGTGATGATAATGTAGCTAGTGCAAGTTATATTGACAATCCATACCTTGCTGCTACAAAGTTGCCTAATAGCCAGAATATGGATTTGACTTAAGAGATTTTAGGTTGTTATTTATTCTTTTTTTATTAGGAAATAAAATACCATCTAAGTGTTGCAACAGAGTGTCATTGACAAGTTTTATTGAATGGTAGTAGTTGGTGGATATATAAAAGGATATAACTGATGAAAAATTATCTCTGCAAGTTCGTCTGCAAAACTCCACAGTCCAACCAAAGCCGAATGTTTGGTTAATCAAAAATGTGGGTTGTATTAAAATAATGACATTAAACATTCACTGTTGATTCTATTTGTTATACCTTATAACTTCAATTTTAATGCAATATTGAATCCACACGTGTTGAAATTGGATAAAACGTAAAACCATATGATCATGAATACATAACTTCAGTAAGACCTATTGCTTTCAGTTCAAAAAACTAATAACCTTGGTCATTAAAAATTAATATGCGTGAAATCTCGGAATTGGTGAAAGGTGTCATTCAAATTGGAGCAACATTTTATATTAACATATTTCATATAACAGATAACGGTACCTAGGAGATATACGAGTAGAATGGAAAAACTTCATTTGAAATATGAATTCAAACACTATACCCCATTCGTAGTCCATATTTTCCTCAATGGTCTTGGAATAATCTTACATAACATATGATTATTTTTATAGAAAGAAGTGCACATACTTTTCACAATTCTTTATTCGCTGGAAGTACTTAAATCATCGTCCGAACGGTTAATATTAATTATTACAAGTTCAATTTGAATATCGATCCTATTGTCCTGATCCCACATCTTTGTTTCGTTTGCCTCTTGAACGTGACGGATGCAGTCTTTCCAATGGTTTGACGTCACTCTGTTGATTGCTTCATAAAACAAATTTTTCACGTCAGAAAATTTGAATGTTCTATTGTTTAAAGCCACAGTTTTTTATATTTGCCCAAATCATTTCAATGGGATTTACTTCGCAGTGATAAGGGGGTAGGCTTAAAACGGTCTTATTTTGGTTTTTAGCCATTTCGTCAATAAAATAAAGATTATATTTATATTTGTGCTGCCTTACTTGATGGACAAGTTCTTCTTTGACCATATTTGCATTGATAGGAGCCATTGTTGAATTTATGCCATTCTTGCAGCATTATTAAGTACAATGACGGCATTGTCGTCAAGATTTGGGAGCGTTTCTTCAAACCATCGTTCAAATGAACCTCAGTCCAATTCTTCATGGTAGTCGATCGTTTTCTTTGACTCAAATGCCCATTTAGCAGTGGGCACAAAGCCATCTCTACTGCCAACATGACATGACAGATAATGAATCGTTTTCCTTTTTTGGAAATAAATTTATTCATATAGTATTCAAGAAAACGAATAATAATACAGGCAGAGTATCTAACAGGTGTTGGTTCCAAATCTACCAGATATAGCTAAGTTGAGTGTAGCTTAGTTTTCAGCGTGGGCTCATCGATTCAGTCTACTTGACATGTTTACAACACAAATGACGAATTGGTTAGATACACGTACCTGACGGATTCTTTAGGCCAGTGGTTAGTCCATTTAAGAAGGTTTGTCTTAATTGTAGGGTCAGCCCATACTTTAGATTTTGTATTTCCTACATTTATCCAGGTTTCATCCAAGTAATAAATCTTGCTGCCCTGGTCGCGGTACTTCTTTGTTGATTTTAAATAATTTCTTCTCCATAAAATTATCTCTTGGCTGTCCATCTAAATACTATTTCTGCTCCATTTCTATACTCAAAATGAAGTTATTTGAGTAAACTACAGAATGTGGTCCTTTTGAAAGTAGGTAAGTCTTCATCAATATTAATCACATGTAATACTTTGTCTGTGGTGTGAAGTTCCTGCCTTTCAAAAAATTGAAGGACATTGCGTCTAATGGCATTCTGATCATAGTTATCAACTGTATCCGACAGCTTCGTGTAATGCAGCCTCTTATGTGGTGGAGACAATTTTTTTTATATTTATTAACAATGTTGATAGTTGTTTTACGGCATATAAGCCTGTTTTGTTCGCCACACGTCTTTCAATATCATAAATTTTGATTTCAGGATGCTCTAAAATTTCGCCCTTATAAACGTTAAGGACAATTTCTTTTGCCTAGATATTCAAATGCCCCTTCTTGTCACGTTTACTGGGAGGAGACATCACTGATGAGGAAGCATGCTAACGTATAAACACACGCTATGATTCACCGAATATGAACAGCAACTGGCGGCATCGGCGTGCCGGTGATACCCCGAGCCTGAGTTCTATCCTGTCGAATCCTGCACTTGTTCGTAGTTTTAAGGCCGAATGACCAATAGCTATTGCAACGCTTACAAGGCTGCCGCTTTGCATCTTTGCATCGTCTACGAATAGGGTATAGATATACGTTCACAGAGCTACTTATGAAATATCAAATTCTATGAAACATTTTTACTATTATATGGTCAATTTTTTTAAACAGACTGAACACTCAAATCGTTTCATCTTTTAAAATGGAATATGTTAAACAGATAGAGTCGCTTTCAGCACTAATAATGCATAGATTTTTTGACGAGTTCTAATAGCTTTAGATCAAAACCAAAAAATAGTTAAAGTCTTTGTAAACCTCTCGGATTGGTTAACTTTAAAAACGTTTTTTACCCCCTATAGAGCATAAGTGTGATTTTCGGAAGAAAGTACGTAAAGTTTTGTTCTTGCAGCGGGAAAAGAACATGCAGCTCACCAAAAAAAGAGAAAACTAAAAACTCAAACGCCAAGGACTTATCCGCACACGAAGCGGTGTTGCAGCGAAGCGTATGAAATGTTCAGTGTCATTAGCAAGCGTATATTCAAGTTTCATGATTCTTTTTTCTGCAGGTACAGCCTCTCGCATCTTTGTATCTTTTTTCAGTAGGTGTGGTACTAAAATAATTAGAAGAATGCTGAATGTCTCCTTCCTCATTCGATAAAAACTTCGGAATTTAGTATCATCTTCTGAAAGTTCACGTGCAGCAGCAAACAATATTTTTTTCTTATTATTTGTGATGCATGGATGGATCCAGTGAGCACGTCGCTTTCTACTTCTAACATAATCAAACAATAAAAAATCCTCTTCGTCTGAAGAAAATTTAAGATCATCAATGGATGCACCAGAAACATCTGGTGCCGTTGACGCCATGATTAAAACTGAGATCGATACGTGTACGTGACGATGCGTGTGAGGAACACTCCAGGTCTCGTAAGCGTTGCATCGTAACGATACGCTTACGAAACGACTACGCTTACGATGCGTTTGCGATGGCCCTAAAGGTTAGCACACATATGTTACGTGCTCGGTTTGCTCTCGTCTTACGCGCGTATTACGAGACACGATACGAAAGCTCTTAGGGCATTCGCACACGCATCGTAAGCGTATCGTTACGACGCTACGCTTACGAGACCTGCAGTGTTCCACACACGCATCGTCATGTACTCGTATCGTTTTGTGAGTTTTGTAAGATCTCAGTTGAAATCATTGCATCAACGGTACCAGATGTTTCTGGTGTATCCATTGATGATCTTACATTTTCTTCAGACGAAGAGGATTTTTTATTTTTTGATTTATGTTAGAACTAGAAAGCGACGTGCTCATTAGATCCATCCATACATGGCAAGTAATAAGAAGAAAAGATTGTTTGTTGCTGCACGTGGACTTTCAGAAGATGATATGAAATTCTGAAGCTTTTATCGAATGAGGAAGGAGACATCTCAGCCATATCGAGAGCAATTAAACAAAACCTTTGAATTTTACATTTATCGTAATACGACTGAACATCTCAAACGCTTCGCTGCAACACCGCTTCGTGTGCGGACTTGTTAGCATAGATACAAGCTCGTTTTGCTCTCGCCCTACGCGCGTATTATGATACCATTACGATACGACGTTGTGTGCGAAGGCTCTTATTCTCCTGCTTTTAACCCTTTTAACGGGGCTCCTACAATCTCGAGCACCATCTGCTTAGGTAACGCGGGGGTGAAAAGGAAACGAGGGTTGGCTGGCCTTAGACGGTCGTCAGCGCTACTTTAAAAGTGGAAAGGATGACTGCGGGTGCGTACCGAGGTACATTTTTATAATAACAGAGTCGGATTTCGATTAGCGATCTAGCCTGTAAATCGTTTCCTATTTTGGCACTCAGCAAGTGATCATTTAGAATTGTGCTACCCTTGTTACTGTTCGTCGATATTGTGCTGTAATCTTGTTGGTGTGATTGTTCTTGAGTGCCTCTTTTATCAAGGTTGATAATCTACAATAAAAGATCATATGCGACAATTTTAATTACGAATGCAGTGAGTTTAATTCATGATGAGGACAAGAATAGGGTGGAGCAGTTCAACTCTATAATCGCAAAATACATTGGGGTAAGCGAATAAATTATTGCAAGAAGAGGTCATACCATAGAAGATGTGCTGCAGCTGTAGTGAGCCACAATACACAATATGTTAAACAGATAGAGTCGCTTTCAGCACTAATAATGCATAGATTTTTTGACGAGTTCTAATAGCTTTAGATCAAAACCAAAAAATAGTTAAAGTCTTTGTAAACCCCTCGGATTGGTTAACTTTAAAAACGTTTTTTACCGCCTATAGAACATAAGTGTGATTTCCGGAAGAAAGTACGTAAAATTTTGTTCTTGCAGCGGGAAAAGAACATGCAGCTCACCAAAAAAACAGAAAACTAAAAACCAAACGCCAAAGACTTATCCGCACACGAAGCGTATGAAATGTTCAGTGTCATTAGCAAGCGTACATTCAAAAGTTTCATGATTCTTTTTTCTGCAGGTACAGCCTCTCGCATCTTTGTATCTTTTTTCAGTAGGTGTGGTACTAAAATAATTAGAAGAATGCTGAATGTCTCCTTCCTCATTCGATAAAAACTTCGGAATTTAGTATCATCTTCTGAAAGTTCACGTGCCGCAACAAACAATATTTTTTTCTTATTATTTGTGATGCATGGATGGATCCAGTGAGCACGTTGCTTTCTACTTCTAACATAAACAATAAAAAATCCTCTTCGTCTGAAGAAAATTTAAGATCATCAATGGATACACCAGAAACATCTGGTGCCGTTGACGCCATGATTAAAACTGAGATCGATACGTGTACGTGACGATGCGTGTGAGGAACACTCCAGGTGTCGTAAGAGTTACATCGTAACGATACGCTTACGAAACGACTACGCTTACGATGCGTTTGCGATGGCCCTAAAGGTTAGCACACATATGTTACGTGCTCGGTCTGCTCTCGTCTTACGCGCGTATTACGAGACACGATACGAAAGCTCTTAGGGCATTCGCACACGCATCGTAAGCGTATCGTTACGACGCTACGCTTATGAAACCTGCAGTGTTCCACACACGCATCGTCACGTACTCGTATCGTTTTGTAAGATCTCAGTTGAAATCATGGCATCAACGGTACCAGATGTTTCTGGTGTATCCATTGATGATCTTACATTTTCTTCAGACGAAGAGGATTTTTTATTTTTTGATTATGTTAGAACTAGAAAGCGACGTGCTCATTAGATAAATCCATACATCGCAAGTAATAAGAAGAAAAGATTGTTTGTTGCTGCACGTGGACTTTCTGAAGATGATATGAAATTCTGAAGCTTTTATCGAATGAGGAAGGAGACATCTCAGCCATATCGAGAGCAATTAAACAAAACCTTTGAATTTTACATTTATCGTAATACGACTGAACATCTCATACGCTTCGCTGCAACACCGCTTTGTGTGCGGACTTGTTAGCATAGATATAAGCTCGTTTTGCTCTCGCCCTACGCGCGTATTTTGATATCATTACGATACGACGTTGTGTGCGAAGGCTCTTATTCTCCTGCTTTCAACCCTTTTAACGGGGCTCCTACAATCTCGAGCACCATCTGCTGAGGTATCGGGGGGGTGAAAAGGAAACGAGGGTGGGCTGGCCTTAGACGGTCGTCAGCGCTACTTTAAAAGTGGAAAGGATGACTGCGGGTGCGTACCGAGGTACATTTTTATAATAACAGAGTCGGATTTCGATTAGCGATCTAGCCTGTAAATCGTTTCCTATTTTGGCACTCAGCAAGTGATCATTTAGAATTGTTCTACCTTTGTTACTGTTCGTCAATATTGTGCTGTAATCTTGTTGGTGTGATTGTTCTTGAGTGCCTTTTTTTATCAAGGTTGATAATGGACAATAAAAGGTCATATGCGACAATTTTAATTACGAATGCAGTGAGTTTAATTCATGATGACAAGAATAGGGTGGAGCAGTTCAACTCTATAATCGCAAAATACATTGGGGTAAGCGAATAAATTATTGCAAGAAGAGGTCATACCATGGAAGATGTGCTGCAGCTGTAGTGAGCCACAATACCAAACGGCCTGTCTATATGGCCCAAATAAATTTGCGTTCTAAGCTTAGTCGAACCTCGCTTATCACTAAGATGGAACAAAGACTCAAACGCAAGAATCTTGAAAAGAAACTCAGACCAAAAAAGGCTGATATAAAAAACTAACAGTTCGGGTAGCAATTCCAAAGAAAATGAATAGTTTTATGGCGAATTCTGTCAAAAACCTGACATGAACGACATTGATTTGGAGGTTGCTAAGCAAGAATTTTTAGGGAAACTTGGAAAAAGTGACGACGAGATTTTGCAGATCTAACAAGTCACCAAATCACAGGACTGTACTTTGTGGCGTCTTCATCGGAGGATAAGGTTAACAGAGTCTCGATTTGGTGAAGTTTGTAGAAGAAGGCATACAGCAAGCTGTAAAGTTCTAGTAAACTCCATCATATACCCAACAGAGTTTTCTAGTAAGGCAATAAAAAAAGACCAGAAAAATCATTGGATTGTTTATTGATCGCACACATCCATTTCTGGCAGCATCACCTCCATCTACCTATTACAGTAGACAAGACATGTACTTAATCTAGGTATAAGCTTACCTCTTTATTGCTTTGCAAAAACTACCTAACTGTTTCCTCTTATTTTGACCGCCTAAGATATTTTTATGACCCTCATTCAATTGTTACCATCTACCACATGACCCTTGTAAACATAATTGTGTTTATTGACATGAAAAACATCACAAACTGCAGAACACAAATTGAAGGTAACGGCGAAATGGGTACATTTCACGGGTCATGAAATTCAAATGAAAATGCAGATATAAAATATACCAAATTATCATTCTCAAAAACATATTTCCTTGACATATCGATAATTTTAAAGTTCCACGCTAAATTCCCCTATACTTGACTGGAGTGATATCCGAATTTATTCTTCCCTACTGTCGGTAGTTGAAGATCTGTTGGCTCTTAGTGTCAAACCTATAGAGCAGGTACCGATTTTTTCAAAGCGTGAGCACATTATTTTTCTGATTTTCGTTACTTAAATTTCCTGTAATCACTGGGATCAGGAGCTTGTTAGTAATAGAACGTGTTTCACTGATTGCAACCCCCTTTTTAACCAGTACAATTTTTATGTCAATGATTATGAACCCCTGAAACGTCAAAAACGGAGTTTCAGCAACTGTTATTTTTCCTTTTTGCCTATATCACCGTTGCCACTGGACTAAAACTATAAAGCTTTGGCATACTAGTAACCCAGTGTGGAAATTTCATAAAGATCCGAGCGGTAATTCGAAATTGACGCTTTATTTTCTGATATTTTTGGATGAAATTTTCACAGTGTGCTGAAAACAAAACCCCTCAGGGTGCTATAGAGCCACTTTTTCATTTTTTTCACTAGGTTCTTTTTATAAAAAAACGCGAAGTTGAACAGAAAAAGTGCGCACTTCAACCCATCATAAAACTTGTGCAAAAACAAAATTTCAAAAAGTGCTCCTATAGCACCCTGGACAATTATCTTCTCAAGATACTGTATGAATTTCATTCAAAAATATTGAAAAATGGAGTATCAGTTTCGAAGCACCTGAACCCTTGTAAATGGCTTGAAACTCACTGCGTCCGAGCCGCCTTAGTGTAAGAACACAGTGCACGCGAGATTCTCGCTTACCGGTAACCTGCGCCATCTCGCGTTTATCGCTTTAAGAATTATCACGTGTATTCATATGAACGTACACACAGTGAAAACAGATTGCAGCAGGTCCGCGCGGATAACCTGCTCGCAGGCGCTCACGGTATTCAAAATTTAGTTTATTTCGGCTTTTGTCGCGCGAGTGAGTAGTATATTGTGATGGATAAAGAATTGCTTATTGCTGCGGTGTTTGAAAGAACAGCTATTTGGAACAAGAGGGATAAGCTACATAGCAATCGCAATGTGGTTGACAGATACTGGAAGGAAATAAGCATTGAAATAAAACAGGATGGTAAGTACCTAGGTGTATTTGTAGTAATATTATTTACATTATATTGCAGTATTATTTGAAAAGCTTAATCTAGGTTTTGTATGACAAAGTATTGTGAGCAAAATATGTTACAAAAATATCGCGAATATTTTTAGCGTCATTCAGAGGTCTTCCCGTCGCTTTTTTACCTGTAGTTTCTGTGCAATTTTCGACAGATACTTCACTAAGATGTCTTTCGAAACCTTCCTTATCAATAATTGTGTTATGTAGAATGCAAATACATTTAATAATATTGTCAGCTGTCGTAATATTGGTTTCAATACATTTTGAAAGTATACGCCATTTTGCAGTGATTATACCAAATGTACATTCTAAGGTTTTTCTAGCACGAGATAGGCGTTTATTAAAACATTCCTCCTCAATACTCAAATTTCTTCCACCAAAAGGTTTCAAGAGGAAAGGCAGGAGTGGATATGCCTCGTCACTTATTAGTACAAAAGGCGCCTTGGTTTTTGTTTGCGGAAAATTGCATGGTTCCGGAATTGCTAGTGTGCCATTTTTTAATTGACGATATAGTTCGGAGGCCTGAAATGTACCGCCGTCACTTTGTTTACCGTAACCGCCAATTTCTACAACAATAAATTTGTAATTAGCGTCCGCTACGCCCTGTACAACAACAGAAAAATAGTGCTTATAGTTATAAAACATTGATCCTGAATTTTTAGGACAAACAATGCGAACGTGTTTGCCGTCAATGGCTCCAATACAGTGTGGAAAATTCCAAATATTATTAAATTCTTCTGATATCCTTTGAAAATCTTGTTTCTTCGGAGTTGGCATATGAATAGGCTGTAGTACCTCCCATATTATACAAACTGTTTCTTGAACTATTTGTCCTACGGTTGAAGCGCCAAGTCTAAACGAAAATCAAATTTGTTTGAATGATGATCCAGTTGCTAGATATCTGTAATTAAATCAGGATAAAAGTCAAAAAAATACTCATGACTTCATTACAATTTAATTAACACGGGCTTAATTTTGTAAACTGTGATTGTGACTGTCATGAAGAAAGTTGTAGATACCTAGAAGTATTCTATTTTTATTTTTTAGAGGCCAAGATCAGAAAGCAATGGAAGTATTTGCGGGACCAGTTCTCCGTTGAATTAGGAAAACTCCCCCCGCCAAGGTCTGGAGACGCTGCCGAAGATCTTCCTACATCCAAATGGCCGTATTTCACACAACTTCTTTTCCTGAAGGACGTGATCAAACCGAGGGCAGCCAGCGGCAATTTATCGATGATGCAGTCAGCTCAGTCCACACAGGAGACAGAAGAAATTCAATCTTCGAACGAGAATAGCGATAATGAAGAGTCTTCTCGAGAAAGTGAAGGTTGCGTGGTACCGCCTACTCCTATTTCAAGGAAAACGAATCCTACCTCAGCATCCATTACGGCACAGAGAAAAAGGAGAACTGCTACCGATGCATATCAAGAATCAATGCTGGAAATAGAAAAACGCAAAGTGGAATATCTCGAAAATAAGGCCAAAAGAGGTTGCAGTGATCAAGATGACGAGCATATGTCATTTTTCAAAAGTTTGCTTCCACATGTAAGGCAAATACCTGCAAACAGAATATTATGTTTCCGTTCCCGCGTGCAAGAATTAGTGGATCAATTTTCCTACCAACATAACACCTTTTCTCATCTGTCATCTTCTGCATCATCCCATTGTAGTGCGCCTTCTCCTTATAACATAGATCAGAATAGCTGCGCACCTTCTCCCAACTATCATAACATACAAGAAACTACGCATTCGTCCATTCCCTTAAACCAACCATCAGTCATGTTTAAAAGTCTTCCCGCTACTGTTTCTAGGCTCCTTGATAATAACCAACAGCAAAATACAACTTATGTATCTTTATCATTACCAGAAAATGGTATCCATCCATGACTCAATATTATTGTACAACTGATAAAATCAATAAAACAATATTTGTAAGTATCTAACTGTTATTTCATTTTACGCTGCAATTGATTCACGTTTAGAGAAAAGATTCGATCACGAGGCAGGAAATCGACCAAAAAACAAACGTATAAACAAACCCTCAGACTAAAACGATGTTTAAACTCACAAAACTCACAGTTCAAGTTAAGCCTGTGCAACAGAAATCTACAAATTGAACTAATTTTACGTCTAATCTCAAGTTAAGTAGAACTAGTGCTGACGCAACAGGCCATTACTGAATGAGTATGATACTTTGAAAATGATTCTGATTATTTTTTCACGAGAAAACTTACCTTAAAGTTATAACAAGCCTTTCTTCTGGTAATATAGGTTGCTTATGCAGATTACACCAATTTTTGGTTAGACGATTCCCAACTTTCTCCAAAATATAATTGAATGTGTCCTGGCTCATTCTCATATACTGGAAGAATCTTCATCTTTCTTCAAGCTTGGAAATAAATGATGGTATTCCCCATAAGTTATTCTTTCACGATTAATAGAATGTATTCCAACCCTTTTCCTTCTTACTTTGGTAGAAATCGACTCTAAAGCAATCAGATCATCATCAGAAGACGACATGTTGCTGCGAATAGATAAAGAACGCGACTAGCGAGTTTTTAAAATGATTTTCCTCGCTTTTACCGGCATCCACTCTGTGCTATCTCGGCGCGAGAAACAGGCGCCAATCTGCTTCGACTACCGGTAAGCGAGAATCTCGCGTGCACTGTGTGTTTACACTTAAGTGGCAAAATGATGTTTTATATTTTGTAACCCATACGAAAATAAACATTTATGCATATCTGTCCACACCATAAGGAGTGACTCTGAAAGCTTTAAAATGTTTGAAGTCACCACCTACAATTTGACACACATGTCGACATTTAATACAAATTAATGTTTTGAAACCTAGAACACTTCAAATTATTAAAACCGAATGTAGGTACGCTTCAGTTCTAAAGCATCCCAATTCACAAACTTGAAACATGCGAATTACCTACTGCTTCGCAAATTTTCCTGTATATGTATTTATTAAAACCCTAGCGTCAACCCGCGGCTCCGCTCACGTAGAAGTAGTGTAAGGTATAGGCGATTCGTTTTGCATTAATGTGAAGGAGATTGGTTTCGGAGAAAGAAATGCAATATTCAAAGCAAAACACAATAATGACATTTTTTATTGAACATTTTAATTTTTATACACAAATGTGAACGTCTAAGAAACTATCCGAAATAGAATTAGACACCGTAGCGTCATTTATAAGAAGTTGTCACAACTGTGTCTCTATTTACTTACAGCGCCATCTATGAGCCACTAATATTTTCAAAGTATATTATGTGTATAGTAAATAGGGAGACAGCTAAGATAACTTCTCATAGATGCTATGGTATGCATTTTATCTAAGATAATTTTTTGGATGGGGGAATTGCATTAGCTTGGCTTTCTTCAGGTATAATACGTTAGTTAATGGTTAAAACACACTTTCAACTACTCCTTAAAAATACAGGGTTTGTCCGGAAAGTAATAGGACTCATTTTCTTCCGTCATGACTGTACTTCGGAGCGTGCGCGCACCGACGGGATTCGTTAGAGGGCGTTCCTAGCTCGACTCAGTCCTATTACTTTCCGGACAAACCCCGTACATAACTCACGAAATTACTGCAAAATTAAAAATATTTATTCCTTGACGGTCACATGCCCAGTGTGGGTGGGGGCTTTCAATAGCGCGGTGTTTTTACCTTGAAGCTGACTATCGCTAACAACGGAGATTTTGGTACTTACCGCCATAGATGCAAAATCGACGATGAGTTCGCGGATAAAACCATGCCTATAACCATTCTCGGATATGAATTAGAATTGTACAAATTTTTATGTCTCTCCGTATCTTAATTTGTTTAGATAGAAAACAAAAACACATGAAAATATCACTTTTATTTCAATAAGTGTTCAAAATGTTGCCCGTTACGATTTGCCAAATCTACAATTCGTTTATAATTTAAAACGGAAACTACCAACATAAGGAGGAAGATTAGATGTGGTAACAACCAAATAACAACCCGAATATTTTTTCCGCATTATTTTCATCAACGCAGATATCCTGGGAGAACTGTATTTATTATTATACCTGTTTAGTTGTTTGTTGCTAAGGGAAAGAAAACATTTAATTTACCTTTGTGGTAATCTTGGGATAGTGAAAATGAATTTATTGGTTCATTTGGGAATAAATCCTAATACTTCATTACGCAAAATTGTTGCTGCGACTGGTATTTCATCAGGCTCTGTACTCCTGTACACACAGTTACTAAACTCTATAAATTGCATCCATTCAAAATAGAAATATTTCAACAGTTAACCGAAGATGATTTCGATAGGCCAGTTGCGTTTTGTGAATAAATGACTGCAGCGATTAATGATAATACCATTCATGTAAAGAATATCTGCTTCAGTGATGAATGCACATTTTATCTAAATTTAATAACCTTAGCTGCAGGTATTAAAGTAATGAAAATCCTCATGCTTTTGTACAGGTAGAAGGGCATACCCAGTACCCCCAAAAAATTTAATGTATGTGCAGGCTTTTCGGAAACAAAGTGATTGGGCCATTGTTTATTACTGGAAATTTCAATGGAGACATTTATTTGGCTATGTTGGAAAATATCATCAATCCACTTATCACTGAAACCATCCAAATCGAAGAGGATGGAAAACCTATACTTGATGAGGCTCCTCCTCAGTGTTTTTCCGGTTCGGCAATGGCTAGACGACAAGTTTCAAGATACTTAAATGCAGAGAGCTAAGAGGGCCTATAGAATCGCCTGCTAGATCTCCTGATTTGACACCATTAGACTTTTTTCTCTGGGGCTATTTGAAATCTATTGTGTTTACTTTCCAACCTGAAAGTTTGGTTGAACTTCGTCAACCCATCATCGAAAGCTGCCATGATATCACACAACATGTTTTTGGAAATGTCCGTCAGGAATTTGAACATCGCCTATATTATTGTTTGGCCAATAACGGGCAACACTTTGAACACTTATTGAAATAAAAAGTGATATTTTCGTGTGTTTTTGTTTTATAATTGAATAAATTCAGATAAAGCTTTTTCTGATCTCCCTGGAAACGAATCGACCGATTTTAAAAGATCAAACTTCTAAATAAAGGACTTCGAAAGACCTTTCAAACAAGCGATTACCCGATACCACTTGTCACTTAACATATTTAAGGTAATGACCCTGGGGGCGGAAGGTGAAGTAGTTTCTGGTTAAAAAGTTATCCCTCTTGACAAATCTTTTGACGTGTTTCGGAGTTTTTTCTCTTAATCAGTGGTTTTCGATAAATCCGTGTTCAAATGAACACCCTGTATAGTTTATCTATATATAGCTTAAAACTTACTCTAAGCTATTATACGTTACAGTTATCGCAAATACAAAAACAATGAAAATGCTCCTCACAGATCTTCTAGCGCCCGATAAGACCAAGGGCTCGAAAAGTGCTTTGTCTTCCTTGAAGGTCGTCCAGCCAATTACCCTTTCCCTTCTGTTTTGCGATTTTAGCCAACGTAGTAAAGGGTCGAAGTACCTCAGCATGCTATCGGGAGAAATTTTGTCGGTCTCACCACGGGTTAGGGCTCTAATGACGTCACGCCAGTGGCGAGATTTGCCATTTCGAAGAATGTCTCTGAAAATATGAAAAAAAGATTTTAGTATCACATCTAAGGTGATTACAGGGCCGTACCTATAGAACACCGAAAAGATGGCAAAAATACAATTTCAGCTATAAGCTATAATATTACATTAAGATGAGCTAGAAAAAAAGTCACACATGACTTATCAACAAAAATAGATTTGCCTAATGCCTTGGTTTTGAACTTGACCTGTAGAAGATTATGTATTATTTTCCAACTATTCTTTTCATCTAATTGCTGTTTTTCATAATATGATCTTTCTTTTACTTTTTCGAATTAGTTTAAATAGTTGGGACAATTTTTGTCATATACATCATGGCCATATGGAATATTTGCAAGTACAAAGAGTTATTATATATATATATATTATTGTTGCTTACTTTTTCTCGGTTACTTAACATATGCGATCAAGAAGGCGCGGACAAAAAATGGTTACAGCATTTCCTCCAAATTTTGCAAATCCTGTTTTTTAGACGAAATAGTTTTACAAAATGTAACTCTGAAAACTGAGATCATTGGCCTCGAATCTTTGCCTTTTGAAATTTTTATTATTTAATTAACGCCTTTAGGTACTGGAAATGTAACTATTCAAAAACTACCACGATATCATATCAATACCACCCAGTACCAAGGTATAAATAAATACCTAGATAAGCAAAACCAATCACTTAGTCGTCGACAAAAATTTTTCAAAAACACTAAGCGTGAGAGACACAGGAAAACAAAGAGTTTTGCAAGCACATGACGTCATATTCGCTGAGCGACTTGAAAATTCTTTGCGTTTTGAAGACCGAGAATACCTGTCCAAGACCGCGTGAAGAAGAAGCCATTCCCACTACCAACAGACGTCCAGCTTTTCCAAAGCGACAAGCGAGTATAATGTAATCTGTTGTTTAGTGTATCAGACACGTTACCCTCGCTCATCGCTCCAAAAACGTCAAGTGGCTTCGAAAACCGGAAAACCCACCCAAAACTGTAGTCGAAACACACTGATTGATCATTATACAATCTTCTACTACTAATGCTGCATTTGCCTTGTGCATGGTTCGAAATACGAGAAATGGTACTTCAACATCTCAAAGGCACCATCTTATTTGTCTTGTGAGAAAGTAGTACAAACCACAACAATGCGTTCAGCCAACATAAAGCGGTGCAGCGCTTTTGTGCTGAATAGCAGTAGCCACATTGTCAGTTTGGCACCAGTATTCACTTGGTTGTCAGATTTGATAGTATGTTGATTCATGCTGCGAACTGTCAGAGCTATCCACGGCTACTGTATTTTCAGCATAAAAGCGCTGGACCGCTTTACGTTGGCTGAACGCTACCAGCGAGTGTCGTCATTGTCACTTTTTGATTTGCTCTTTGGAAAAGGCCACCAACGTGGCCGCATCGTTAATAAATCTTATATACACGAATAAAGCTTTAAACTGTTAATAAACATTGGCTTATACTTACATCAAAACCCTTCCAGCTTCTCTAGACCTATAAACGTCACACTCATGTAAAGGTCCTTCAAACCTCGCAGCCCTACACATTGCTTCGTGTATCTGAAACTCTAAAAGTAGAGCAACGTAGTACTTGGTATAAGGCACGTCGGCAGGTATATGGCGCTTAGAAGCTGCGTCTAGATGGTAATCGGTTCTGGGAACTGGTGGTACTATGCCTTGATTGGTTTGGCGCAGATCCCACCATAAGGAGTTCATTTTTGTTGTACCGGATTCCGAGAGTTCGTATCTCCACTGAAAAAAAATGCATTATACATACGATGGTTTTATTTTAATGTGTTTATCAAAGATCTTGGTTTTTGATATACTAACAAAAGTATTTCTATACAGGGTGTTGCCAGAAAAACTTACTGGAGGATGCGCACAATATAAAAAAGGTCATTTATATATAGGTTCGTTGCATCATTGGTATGGCTAATGCCACCTGATGGCGGCCCAGGTAGTGACAGGTGTACAATTCTAACAGAGGTGGCGAACGCGAACATGCTCTATCCTAGTCCGAATTCGTTGTGCTCTTTGAAGCCCCTATCTAGGTATGACGAGGTCAAAAGGAAAAATAAATAGAAGCGGCTAATACTCAGAAGCCAGCCGAAAGATGGAGCTACACGTGGTCTCCGCTTACGAAATGGTGTCGACGATGTATTACTGGTAGTGGCTGGTGTCTCACAAAGTGATTTGCTGTCTGATGAGATATGCGCGCTCTATCAAAATGGTACCAAGCCTAGAAGCGTGGTGGAGCAGGCGCTTTTTGTTCATGACAAGGGAGCGGTACGGATAGTTACTATACTACACAGTTTCTCACAGGTCTGTCTCTTGGAGTTTTAATTCAGAGGCACCGATTTCATTATAAAAATTATTTTATTAGCCAATACAATTTGAGGGATATAAATTGAGTCAACAGCTTCGTCTGAGTTTAGTTCGAAAAACATACATTCGGAACCGTGCTCTGTACAACAATAGGTTCATTTTGAAGTACACATTAAAAAATTGGCTATACTAATGTTAAATAATGATTTGTAGTGTATTTTCCTTGTTCAGATCACATTTGTATATTCAGATTCCAAGTGATACAAAACATATGCTGCCCTATCAACGGACTTAGCAAATATGATCGAATTTTTAAAAAAAAAATAAGAAATCAAATTGGTTAAAAATTACAGTTTCATTCAAACATGATATACTGGTTTTTGCGCATAAGATAATGTATCCGTATCTCTATATCCCTATAGAGAATATCTAATTTTAAGATTAAACCTTAATAATTTAGACTAAAGAGACCATGAAAGTAAATGTGGCCATGCATTCTCAGACGACTAGCGTTTTTCACAGATATTTTACATATTTCAATGCACATCTTCAAAAATAATGAATCTATCGACACGAAAATATCGTGTAGTGGTAAAAAAGTAATTGTTCCAAAGCAACATGCAAATCATTTGCCAATTATATAAGTAGATATAATTAATATTAATATTTTGAAATTAATAGAGAACTACATCTAATTATTAATCTCGCCATAAGTAGACAATTATTGTAATTATTAATATTATTATTTAAAAAATCTTTGAGATTATTGCGAAAGAAAAATTAACAAGCTATTACGAATGTAAATCAATCCTTTCAGTATCACAATTTAGATTTCGAAAAAATTCAGCCTCAATAAAAACGCTACTCACCTTTTTAGAGGAAGTACTGGATAGTACATGTATAGAAGATAATTTTAATACTATAGCTACCATGTGTGATTTGACGAAAGCATTCAGTTCCGTTAATTCACATATACTATTGAAAAAACTATAGAGTTCTATGGCATAAGAAACGCCGAGCTAGAGCTATTTCGTTCTTATCGGCCAAGTAGGAAGCAGTACGTAAGCTCTGAGGGCACCATCTCTAACCTTTGGCGTATTTGCAACGGGGTACCGCAGGGATCAGTGCTTGGCCCCCTGCCATTTCTGATATATATCAATCACCTGCCCTCGAGTATTGATAACGGGTCCGCCTATTTCCAAACGGTACTATATCGCTATATAGTCCTGACCACGAGTATGGATAGTTTGGAACTAGCCAAAAGATGGTATTTAGCGAAGATATATCATGGTCGTCTGGACCGGAAAAACTTTTAGGAAACCCAATTTAAAAACTTACCTGGTCTATAATGTAAGCGAAAGGTGCATAGGCAACTTTTCTCAAAGCCATCAACATCAAAAAATTAATATTCAACTCGTATAAATCCGTATTATTTTCAAAAAGTCCAACTCTTCGGAAATGCACAGGGTTGAACACCGAAAGTATTACAGCATTTGCGACGCCTTCGTGAAAACCTGAGAAGTATCAGAACTTTAGAATAAAATAATAAAATGAGGTTCAGCCACCCTTTGCCTTACCTGGGTTTGCCCCATCTCTATATAAATGCGGCAGATCTGCATAGTACATATAATACTGAATATGAGCCATTTCATGATGAACTGTTATCAAATTTTTCATATCAACTTCTGTGCACTGCTTTATTCTAAAAGAAAAATATATACCAGGTGTTTCAAATTTGACTCTTTTCATTGGGACCTTTGAAAAAGTAAGAAATATGAAGTCAGTTAAACGGAGGCAAAGTTGTGCCTTTGGGTAAAATGGCACTTAGAAAGTGAAAAAGAGTAGGTATTTCCGGAGTGACAGAAAAATGAATGTTGCAATAATCGTTTTTATTTCTGCCTACGTTTACAAATAAAGATGGAATTTTAGAACGGGTAGCATATTAACATTGCCACTTTTTCTCTTCCATAAGATGGCACACGACGTTTTGTCTCTTGTCCTCAATCAACTTTTTTTCTTATGTACGTTATATTGGATTTTTGAGCAAGTAAATAGTTTTTAATTCGGACTTAAAAAATGTATGTCCTACATGGACATTTTCATTTTTCAAGTTATTTAAAAAAAGTAATATTTTCAAAGTTGGCCTTGAAAATGACAGTTTATCACTGTTTATCCCATTGAATCACCAATGCTTTAGTTTTTTCAGAAGGCTATTTAACAGGCAATCAAACAATTTGCCCATTTATCGACTACTCGTATAACAAGCGTTATTTTAGCGGAGGCGCTCAACACTTCACTTCAGCCGCAAATTAAGAATATTTGAATGCAAGATGTGTGTATCAATTTAGATAAAGCGGATATGAATTGTGTTTAACTTTTATTTATTCTAAAATGCTTCTCAGTTACACAAAGTAGCACGGTTTTAATACTACTCTCAAATGATATGAGGATTATGTTGGTTTATATTCGATTAACGTATTCTATCTGAAGATAGCCAACGTAATAGTATATTCGGATGTCTGAAACATTATCCGAAATAAAATGAGAGAGTGTAGCGAAGTCTATAAGAATTTGTCACAGCTATCTTTCTCCTCCCTACAATAACTAGTTATCTACTTTGAAAACGGTAGTGTCTCATAGATGGCGTTATAGCCAACCATATATGAGCATATAGCTACACTGCCATCTACGAGACACTAACCTTTTCAAAGCAGATTTATAATTATTGCAGATAGCTGTGGAAAATTCTCATAGGTATCTGATTACATCTCGGATAACTTTTCGGAGGCGCGAATATAGTATGTACTAGGTTAGCTATTTTCAAGCAGAATATGTTAATGGTCAACACCAACTAGATACGGAAATTACTTTTTCAAACATTTGAACTTTTATAATATCAAACCATGTGAGAATTTGTACAACACATTAAAATTGAAAATAGGGACCGCTCACCTATACGTAGCTTATAAAAACTGAAGGGGTAATAATAACTTCTTCAGATTAATATACAACATGATGAATAAATTTCGATCCACAAAAGAATATCCTTGTGCATGAAAAAAAATAAATACATAAATACATTGTTTGGTTGATGAGATGAAACAAATGACGATCTCATAATTTCAAATCCTACTTAGGATATGCTGTTTTTTTTAAATAAAGAGCAAAGTCAATATATGACATATCATGTATTTTTGGAATCCTAAATAGGACACCTATTTACCTGCACAAAAATCCAATATGGCGTTGATAAGAAAAAAAGGAAGAGAGACGTCGTATTGAAATTACAATTATGCGACCTTGTAGAGGAGGAAACGTGACAATATTAAAGTGCTTTTTATTCTGAACTAATATCTCAAATAAAGTCGAGAAAAAATGAAAACGAATTTGAGAAAGTGCAGCTCTTTTTGCCTCTCTCCGGAAGTACCTCGGAATTGCGAAACTGCCATTAGTTACCCGAATGCGCTACTTTGTCCCCATTTAAGCGAATTTATATCACTTACCGTTTCCAAGAGCCCAATGGTGAGTGTCGAATTTGAAACTCCCGGTATAGAAATTTATCAGAAATACTATGCAATATGTAGGGCTATAACAAATAATTGTGCTTGAAGATTGAAATAAACTTAAAATAGTACCTGAAGTCAACTCTGTTACAGAAATCCCAAGCACTAGCAGTACACTGCACTCGTCTACCATTTGGTTTTTCTAACATTGAATGTCTCCAAAATTCTGGGGGCATGGGTTTCAAGCCCAAAGATGTGAAGAATTCTTCCGCCATTTGAAACATTCTGAAACAGTATAGATTTGGAAGCTCTTTAACTACGTAGACAACATATTGATAGTTCTTTTAAAATGTTTTCCTATAAATGAATCTTCTGAACCTACGTATATACAGTCATGAGATGTTCCTATGAATATGTAACCTTCTTTTACTCACTGCAAAGGTGTGAATCCCTGCTTCAACATTTCCCCAGTAACGTCAAAGTTCCTAAAATTCGCATAAGGCAAAACAATATCAGGAATATTGCTCCAATCTTGCGCCCAAATGTTGCCTAGAATATGAGCTGGCAAAGAGCCTTCAGGTCTTACAACTTTTGGACCATATGTGTCTATGAGTTTACGTCTAACGTAAGCTAATAGCTCTTTGTACAGGGGTTGGATTTTTTGGAGGGAAATTGCCAAGTCGTTATCAAAGTCTCTATCTTCGTATGCAAACCTCATTTCTTCTCCAGCGTCCAAAAAACCTAAAAAAAAACATTATTGCTGTTATACGCTAAAACCCAAATGCCACATACGGTGAGATTCAAATATGGATGGCGTCGTAATATGTACGGGGGAGCAGCATGATAAGCGTGCAATATGTATGTTAGAAAGAGTGCAAGATAGCTTCCGTGACCTCGTACTCGAGCTGCTTAGCAACGAGACGCTTCTATTTCTTTCTTACAAACATATCGCACTTCTCTCGTACACATTACGACGTCAGCCAAATTTGAATCTCACCGCATGTATGCTATGTCAATACAGAATATTTCAAAAATCAATAGCAATATTTTCAAATAGGAAGACCATCGAAAATAAGATGAGTGTATATAAATATATAAAAATGTAAATGTCCAGCCTGTCAACATCACGTCTGACCCACAATATGAAGGAAGGTTATACGTATGAATTTATCCGCGAACTCATCGTCCATTTTAACATTACAACTCGCGTACCAAATTCTCCACCACGTTGATCTGGCAACAGTGTGACCTGCCATCGCCCCCACTCAAACTGTGACTGTCAAGCGATACAGACGTTTTATTTTCCAACGACTCCGTATGCTTGAGATTGTTACTAACACAAAACAGTTTTCAAGTAATGCTATGTACATCCTATCGCGTTTTGTAACTTTAATGGCATTAGTAAATTGACAGCATACTTGCATACTTAGAAAGTGGGTTACTTTATTAATGGCGCCACCTACACATTCCACGACGGTGTCCTAAACGTTGAGCTTTTGCTTTTAATAAATGGATACGGTTGAAATAACAAAGTTAATTTGCGCTAAGACAGCCCGGAAAACATACAAAATAAAGTGAAGAAAAAATACTATTTATTTGGTGCGGCATTTCAAGTGCTGCCCTGTCTCATGTTTTGTTTGTAATCACTGCTTGAAATTGTCGCTGTTCGATTCCAGCATATGCGTTTTTTTATTTATCTTCCTAATTTTGTAACATGTGGGGCTGTCTAGGTCTTCTACTGTGTCCACCCAGATGGCGTTTGCATAATATAAACAAACCTAGGCAGTTCTAATGGACAAGGGCGACGTTCTGAATACTCGGATGCATCCGCGGCGTATCAATAGGATCTCGAAGATGCTCACAGAAAATTAACATCAAATCCGTTACTATGAAAATGTGCTAATTTTCAAATACGGTTTGTTTATAAACTAGGTTTCCCACAAAACATCATACCCTTTAACGTAGGAGAGAAGGGAGGCGTTTGACATGTTGGTTATCTTAAGGCTTTGGTATATGTTTTATTAGGAAAACCAGCTTATTATTGCCTGACATATATGCTCTGTAATTCCAATTTTAAGAACACCCTGTATAATATGAGCAGCAAGCAAGGTTCTAAAAAGCATTTACCAGGATAGGCTGACATATAAAATGAAACACCCAGCATTATTTATTGAATTTTGATAAAAAATTCTAAACATATTTGCTATCATGGAAGTATACGCTGATAAAATGTTGAAGGCATGACAGGCCGTACTTTTTTTGTAAAGGCTTTTTTGTCATATCAGGATCCGAACAACATGAACTATGTTTACTTAATATTCAGTGATTTTTCTGTGTTGGTTCCATTTGTTTCATTGCATTATCATGCCTAGAGTTCGCAGACGCACTAGTTTCACTCAACTTTCTGAGTTTGAGCGGGGTCCGATAATCTGGTTACGTGAAGCCGGATTTTCTTTTAGAGAAATCGCTAATCGGGTGAATCGAAACGAAGCTACTGTAATGAGATGTTGAGCGTACTTCCAAGAAGGCCAAAAATCGACGAGTTAGAGGTACTCGACGTCAAAGACAGACTGCAGACTGCAGAGCGACAGGATCGCTATTTGAGGCTTCTAGCACTTAGAGATCGATTTTCCACAACGAGAGTAATTGCGAACCAGTGGATAATAGGGAGAGACTTGAATGGAATATGGAATGGAACACAGTCGTGTTCTGCGATGAGTCAAGATTCTGTTCGGGCACACATAATGACCGTGCAAGAGTATGTCGTTTTACAACCACATCTGCTTCCCTTTTGGAAACACTGCAAGACCCCCTTTTTCAGCAGGACTATGCACAACCTCATATCGCACTTATTAGTTTAGACTTTTTAGAAGCGTCTGGAGTAAGTCTGATTCAGTGGTCTCCTCGATCTCCACACCTTTCCCCCATCCAGCATGTATGGGACATGATGGGAAGAAGGTTGCAAAATTCGCCGCACTCCCCAACACTGGAGGCTCTACGAAACCAAATCAGATGGTCTGGGATACAATACACCATCAGTCACCTTATCCAATCAATGCGGCGACGACTTAACGAATGTGTAGCGAACAGCGGAGCTTCAACACATTATTAACATGAAGGAGGGATATCTCATCAGCTATTTTGAGAAATTTCGAGTTAAAATTTCAATCACTTTATATTTATGAGGAGACCTAAAACTTGTTAAAGTATGATCATAATTACAGCACTCCTAATTTCCTCAAAAAGACCGCATAGCTCTAAATATAGTATCAATAGAGGAGTAATATTGAAACATTGTTGTATCTTAAAATTCAATAATCCTTAACTATTACCTATAACAATTGTTTCTAACCATTTATCCTAGCTGCCTGATTAGTCAGTTGTATATATCGAATGAACCTGTTTTTCATTGGTGTTCCAACCTTGTCATGCCACTCTTTCCAAATATGAAGCAGTTCAAAGTGGCTTCTGGAACTTGCCATAATTTTTTGAACATCTGACAGCTCCAAATCGCAGAACATCGGTTTTTCTCCATTGAATGCGTATGGACATACCCGTACATGTGCGTAGATTTCTTTCATTTCTGATATCAACTGATGCAGCTGAAATTTAGTTTAAAGGTTATTTCGAAATTACATTTTTATAAAAACCGAAACTTAAAAGCACTGTTGTCTGCAAAACAACTCGGCTTCACCTGGTTTCGACTTGTGAATGTCGATGTGACATTACAGCTAACGTTCCTCGAAAACCATTGATAATCTGATGAAAGTACCTCTCGATGACGTTTTTATGTCCTTTGAATTGATTTAGTTCAGCAATGTTGAAAGCCTTTCTCGAAAGCAATACAATTGATGATAGAAATATGCTAGTGCAATAATGTACGAGTGATCATCAGACTCAAGAAATATTCTCATTGTACTTGAAAAAGTCCACCGTGGTTTCGCAGGTCGCGTATTGCACATTATATCTGTTAAGTATTGGGAGTTTTTGGGTAAATGCAACAAGGTTTATCCTCTTTTTTTATCGCACTGCGCAATACTTAACACGTCGCTTCGATTGCTGCGTTCTCAAATCCATTCAATATGTTATTTTGACATACCTCATTGAATTTATCATCAGTCAAGCTAGCCCTAGTATTTGTCGTCAACATCCTCAATTGCCTCTTGACTTCAACATCAGGAATTCTAGTCCAGTCGAAAGTGATAGCTTTCCTCCATGTTAGCTTGTCGAATTTAGCCTTAAGTGCTTGTTCTTCCATCATTTTCCTTTTGTTCGCCTCAGTCATGTTTGTTGCGTACTTCCATTGGGCTGTACTTACTCTAAAACACATATCTGATGCTTCGGCATCGTATTCCTTTAGGAACTGAAGTGCCTCCCCTAGGTCTGCATTTGAACCCTATAAATGTACCGGGAGTTTCAAATTCGACTCTCACCATTGGCATGTCGCAATCAGTAAGAGATGCGGAGTTGGTTAAATGCATGGTAAAGTTGCGGATTTAGGTAACCAAGAAAATGGCACATAGAAAGTTTCTCAATTCCGAGTAATTCCAGAGATAAACGAAAGGAACTGAATTTTCACAAAATCGTTTTTATTTTTGCTCAACTGAATAAAGTTTTTAATTCTGTTTTCAAAAATATATAATATGCCATACATTAAAATTATCAAACCACAAAGTAATGTTGTCATAGTTAGCTTTGAAAATGACCTGATTAAACCACCGATGCTTCAATTTCTGAGACGAGCACATTTAGATAATTTGCCCATCTGTCGACTATAACAAACGTTATTTAAACGTTGATCGAGGCAGTCTACATGACACTTGAGCCTTAGATTTATAGTATTTGAATGCAAGATGTGTGCAACGGTTTAAATATTAGGGCTATGAAATGTGTAAAGAATCTGTAACATGGTCGAAGCTTTTACTTAGTCCAAGATGTTTCTATTAGTTACATAAAGTTGTTTCCAATGCTATCCTTAAATAATATGAAGAAGTTTTAGCATTGTTTTTCTCTATTGGATGAGAAGACCAAATATAGGAAGATTACTTTTTTAGATATGTGAAGTTTTATAATACCAATCCATGTCATCCGGAAATAGGGCTATTCACCTATGCCTGATGATTCTGATCATATCATGAAACAAGAAATCATTATCTGGTAATGTCAAGGCTTACTGTAATTCCGATGTTTTTTAATAACTAAGGTTTGGCAATGTCAATGTATGACATATTATACATTTTTGTAATCAGAATTAAAAACTCTACAACTGTGCAAAAACGCAATATGGCGTCTGTAAGAAAAAATAAATTTGATTAAGGTCAAGGACCAAGAAGTCATATCGAAATTCAAATAAGCCGTCTTGTAGAGGACAAAAAGTGGAATTTTTATTTTAAAATCCCATCTCAGATAAAGTCAGGGAAAAAATGAAAATGATTATGAAAAAATTCGGTTCCTAACACTGGAAATTGCGAAACTTTCCAAGTGCTATTTTCTTCAATAGCTAAATGCGCAACTTTCTCACATTTAACCAACTTCGTATCTCTTACTGAGTCCCAGATCTCAAAAGTAAGAGTCGAATTTGGTATAGGGTATCTATCTATAAGGAATAGTCTAATCATATTAGACGAAAATACCACTCGTTTGCTGAATAATTGTAAAGTTCGGTTTTATTGATGCAAGTTGTTCAACGTGGTATTTAAAACATGGACCCATAACATCAGTACACCAATTTTTGTGGGAAAACTTTTTATTCGACAACAAAGAATGAGAAACCCCGTTCTTTAGGATTCCATTGAAAGTATTGGCAGGAACGCAAATACTCTACAAATAAGATTTTTAGGTATTTATGAGACCTATAGAATGAGCCAACAAGTAAAAATATACCGCAAATAGTAAAAAAGTTTTGGCCGAAAACCGAGGCAAAATGCAGGTTTTGGCAATTGCTGCTAAGGCGACGATAATTTCACGCAGCTATTTGAAATTCTTCATATCAGTAGGCTTTATACTTCTAAATAACCACAACAAAATTGGAGTCGATTGGTCAAGTACTTTTTGAGAATTTCTAATTGTTTATACCAAAACAATTGTATTCCGGCCATCACTACTAGTTTACTGAGCAGGGTTCGTTCAAAGGGCATTCTATCGCAAATTTCACGAATTTACCTTGCCGACGTGAATCACAAACCATTCCGACAGATAATTGTTATTTTTATGCGGTAAACGAAGGGTTACGTTTTTTTTCTTCTAAACAAATTCAAACATTTCGTATAACGCATGAGTAACTGAACAGATTTGTGTTTCGCATAAAAATAACAATGATCTTTCCGAATGGCTTGTGATTCATGTCGGCAAGGTAAACTCGAGTAGTTTGCTAAAAAAGAAACTAGTAGTGATGGCCGGAAGGCAGGTGTTTTAGGATAAACAATTAGAAATTCTCAAAAACTACTTGGCCAATCGACTCCAATTTTGTTTTGGTTATTTAGAAGTATAAGGCCTACGGATTCGAAGAATTTCAAGTAGCTGCGTGAAATTATCGTCGCATTAGCAACAAGTGCCAAAACCTGTATTTTGCTTCGGTTTTCGGCCATAACTTTTTTACTATCAGTGGTATATTGTTACGTGTGGTCTCATTCTATAGGTCTCATAAATACCTAAAAACCTTATTTGAAGAGTTTGTCCGTTCCTGTCAATACTTTCAATGGAATCCTAACGAACGGGTTTTCTCATTCTTAGTTGTCGAACAAAAATTGGTGTACCCATTTTATGCGTCTATGTTTTAAATACCCCCTTGAACAACTTACATCAATAAAACCAGACTTTACAATTATCTCGGGAAATTTGCTAAAATGATTAGACTAGAAAGAGGTTTTTATTTGTGGCAACATTGATTAACGCATTCTCCAAGAAAATGTGCTGTAACTTGGTTGTTCGCATACAATGTCCAACGTCACAGCCATGTTGTTAACTAGAAACGTAGTAATTACCTTGGAAAAGGCGATTCCATTTCCTTTTGAATAAAACTGTTTATTCTTGAAACCGATTTAATTTTCTAAGAAAGGATTAAGCCTCAATCTATCCGGTAATCCGACGATTTCACATTCTGAGAATTTCTCAACGACGAAGACGGTGATCACAAGTATACATACAGAATGTTGAAGCTCAATATTTAAGGGGGCGATGTTTGGATCTATTTTAAGAAGAAAACTTCATATGAATGTCTATACCAAGGGTCTTAACTTGGTGAAGTTTCCAAAAATAATCATGCAGAGAAGCGGTTTTTTTAAGCGAAAACCGTGCATCAGATTGGAAATATCATGCGATAAGATTAGCTTAGGAATGATTGAATACAAGAATAATTTTTATTTTAAGAGAAATCGGCTGCATGCCATCAATGCCTGCCAAAATAGGCTGGTGAAATTCCGTACGAACGCCACTGCGGAAAATTAAAAATATAGTTAATATAAAAATTCCTCTTGATAGATAGAACAAATACCAGATTTTATTAAAATTTCTGTGAAATTACAGATATTAATAATATTTTTGAAAACTTGACCACCCTATATCTCAAAAGTTAAGTCGTTTATGACATTCATACGTTCATATGAATCGCACCCTTAAATATTGACATTCAATTGAGAATCCATAGTTCTGAGCATAAGTGGTTGGGAGTGCCACAGTACCCGTATGCTTAATTTTCGCACAAGCAGTGCTTCCAAATAGATTGTATCACACCAATCATTCTTTGAGATATGCAATGCATTTTATTTCCACGATCTTCAGAATATTTATCTGGCATCCTTTGTTTTATCATAAGCATCCATCGAAAGCAAAATCTAAATGTGCCGATAATAGTTTCTGTTTAACCGAAATATTACACATAACCAACATCCTCAATGCATTTCTAATACGGCGGTGGTATTAAAAACAAGCGGATTTCACTAATGAAACCTTTCCTCTTCACGTCGCGTTCCTTTTGGCTGATTTTGGGTCATAGCAGACGCCACATATTGTTCAAGATTAACTAAGCGTATCAGTATAGGACGATTCGTTGTCTTTGATAACTGTACATCTCCAAGATGTCACACAAAATAAACACTAATAGCTAACTGTAGCCTTGCATACCAAAAAATGACTAGCTTGCATAGGCGAAATGTTAAACATGCCTAAAAATATAGACATTTAAGAAAAATAATTGCGTAAAGAAATCTAATCTTTTAGAAAATCATAGTTTCTTTCCCACTAAAACTAGTACGTTAGTAACGAGGAATCGCACACCAAGCCTCTGATGTATTAGCCAGTAGACTACACAGTCGTGCTTAACCTAGCAATATATGCACCGAAAACATTTGAGCCGGCAATGGCCTTATTTATTAGACGAACAGCAAAAACTTTACGAATGTTCTTAAAAGGAGAGACAAGTATTAAGATGATTAGAACTCATGTTGAAGTTGAAATAATGTTAGCTTTCCTAAACCAGTTGCTGCTGTAAGGACCTTTAGATGTTTACCAATGATTTCTCCTTTCGTTTTAACTAACCAGCTTAAAGAAGTAAACAAACCAAGTCAAATCATTCAGCATCTCGCAAACCAAAACTTGCGTATTCTCACAATGAACTTTTTCGTTTTAAAACCTGGAGATCCTGTATATGTAGCACACCTATTAACCAGACCCTTTTATTGTTTATTGTTTGCAATAACAATCCGTTTTAAAGGCGCATTTTGTTACTGACCAAGGTTAAATTTCAATCAATAGCGTGTTTTAGATATACATATATACATTGTATATCGATAATTACATAATATCAATTCATTAGACACACATTTCTGGGCAACCTTTAGATTCAGGATTATTATAAATAAAGGGAACGAAATAATTTAAAAAACGTCAAAATGCATATTTTTGAGTCTCTAATCTTTGAGGCGCTGTTAAAAATGTAATGCTCCGTGAAATTTTATATTTGCTTCTATACACTTAACCTAGTGAATTTAGTTAGTCGCAATAATAATAATAATCTTTTTTTCGTAGAAAGGTACAAAAAAGGCGAAGCTATGAGTTATTCAACTTAAACTTCGTATACAAATTTTCTGAAAATTTTTCATTCTTGGTTATAGTTATCCCCTCAACTTTTGATCATCTGACATGGAATGACAAAAAAAGTTCATATATGAAGTGTTCAAAAATGTAAAACCTCATATTTACACTTTGCCAAATTCCTAGGCATATTAAGGGGGTTCCGTAATTAAGCCGACACAGTGAAATGGTAGATAGTATGGACCAAAACATTTTCATATTTGAAAATAAAAACTTCTAAATTCATTTTTTACGGATATAAAGGATGTTTTATCTAAACATGCCAAATCTTTAATATCACTTATTTCAGGCACAATAAAAAATACTGAAAAGACCTAAATAGGGTGCATAAGATTAATTTTCCCTTTTATTTATATCATGTATTGCACTTTTTTCTGCAAATTCATAATACGTTTAGAGAATAACTTACATTTAATGTTATTTTCAGACATTTAAAGGTCTCCATTCAAGTACGGAACACCCTGTACATATCTTTTAGGGAGATATTGACGTTCGACGGAACTTTGCAGTTGCTTCTTACTGCTATACCATGGGAATTTATCAAAACCCCCTCCATAGAACAATGTTAGAATGCATTAATCATTTTGGAATTAATAAAAGTTTTCAGGCCAAATAGCGAATATTTTGAAAGTCTCCAAAATGCATGATGCGAAATATAAATTATGCAGACCATGACCAAAAAGTCTTGATAAACTAAACTGTTATATTACTTTCTCTTACCTGCACAATTCTAGCATCAATGTCCCAATTACCATAAACCTGTCCAACCAAAACCGCATGAAGAAGAAGGACTCTCGCTATCATCTTAGTCTGGCATCCTCGTTTCGTCCTTTTCAATCCGAGCATCTTCAGTTTCTGTTTCGTTGGTACAGCACCATGTTGCTCACGAGCCGACTTTGATTACACTGAAGAGAACAGAAGGTGCCTTCGCACGCGAGTGATGTCTAGAGTGCCGTGACAAATGACGATATGCGGTTGTTTTTGCGACGTGGATTGTTAAGAAGATGCAGCCTGAGCGTGACAATATGTTCAGGAAGAGATTATTGTTTAATAGACAAGCAAAAGCTTCGTTGGAAAATATATGTCCAGTTGTTTTTCAATAATCCTCACTGTTCGGTTTTTTATTTATTTTGGACATATGATAAAACTGATTGTGATACTTATATTTTACTCGGCTGCCTCAGAAGGAGAGTAATGTTATCCACGCGTGGGAGTGGGTCTATGTATCAAAAAATTCTATTTCAGGGGCGACACTGGTTCTGTTAACAAAATTTTTGATCAAAATGGAGGATTTCAATCGAAAAGCTTAAACGTCTTAATGAATTTTGACACATATGTCTCTAAATTTTTGTCTATAGGCCGAGTAACACTAGGTGTGTATCTATGCATCCAAAAAATTCTATTTCACGGTCTACAGATCAAACGCTTTTGTGATTTTGTCCTTAGATTTGTCTTCATAGCGTAATTAAAAATTAAATCTTCTCAGTTACTGCAGTCGGGCTTTATGTACTTTAAAAAATGAGCTTGTTTTTCAATCTGGTTTTCGTACTGACTAATACATGTATCAAAACAAGTGGTGTCAAGTGTTAATTTAGATACACTGTATTAGTGACTTCAAATATATTTTTTTTTATGTTAACATTACTATTTTCACCTAATGCACAGCACTGGTTGTATTTAAATACATTGTATCTTTATTGTTCCAATTTGGAAGCGATCAACTTTAGTAAAAAAACTGAAGGTCAGGATTCACATAAGAATCTAAAGAAAATGGATGGTGCGAAAATGTTGATTCATAATGACCAACTCGCTTCACTTCCCACAACTACTGGCACGAAAGTATCATAATTTCGAAAATGATATATTGTTGCTTAGATGTATATGACATGTAGATCACGGAAAACCATGTCACTCTTTTCCGTCGACCTATCTGTCTATCGACCTGTCTGTTTATCCGCTAATCTTTGATCCGTCTATAACTTGAAAAGTCGGATTTTTATTAAATTTTCACACAAGGTCACCACTATGTCAAGGAAGACAAAGCTTTGTAGTTTTTGAAAATCGGTCCACTGGGGACGAAAAAATAAAAATAAAAGCTCAAATAGTTTTTTTACGTTTCAACTGATTCTCATCATTTTCAAAAAAAATGTTCAAGGGTAAAAAATTGGAGAATGGGGGGTTGTAGGGGATAATGTGTCTCAATTTGTTCTAACGCTCCCAACCACCGTAATTCTACGTACCTATTAAACATATTGTACACATCAGAGACTTCCCCGTACGTTTGCCCTTATAACTTGGAATTCTTTCAACAAGCGACCCTGCTTCTGGGGTCACCGGCGAGTGTGCCTGACTTGGTAAGTGTTTTGGCCTTAAAGCCGCGTTGTGCAGTCAGGTATCGAGAAGAGACGACGTTGCCAGATGGACTACCGGTAGGGCAGGGAAATAATGTCTATGCGCTAATTGTGTGGGTCTGTTTGACTGACTTGATGCGTTAAATTTCTCTGTTATACATGTTCGCACCTACCTTTGTTCTCAGAGGGTCTAACGTGCTGACCATAATATAATCCTTTATGAACCGATTGCGTGGGAAAAACAGATTCAACCTACTTGACGCCATTTTTTTTAATTCACCGTTTTTCGCAAAAGGAAACATGTGTTCTTTTTTGACTGATGGGATTTTTCTTTGAACAGTATTAGGCATTTTCAGCTTATCTATAAAGCGAAGCGGCAAAAAAGTTAATTGTGTACTTTTTTTGAGGGTATGTTTTCCATAACTATTATTTCATTCGAAAGCACTAGCTAAAAAGCACTAAAAAAAATTCGAATCCCATGCAGTTTTTGGACGTTTATTAGTTCAAAATTCATACCACTCATTTCCGACAGTGTGTTAGAATTTTTGTAAGCTATCATAATCTTCGCAGCAGCAGTACCAACTATGATAAGCAGATAATGATTTTGGAAACAGCACATAATTTTATAAAGCCTGAATCTTTATATTGCACCTGAATTGTCTCTCAACATGTGAATTATATACCATATGCTATACATTACCCAGGGGGTAAAAAGATCAAGGTGACATACAGAGTTTGCCAAGTATATAACAGTAGTGAGTTGGGAAAGGAAGATGGCAATTTGATGACAATAACATGGAAACTACACCACATTAGCTATGCTTGCTGTGATGGACGTCAAATTGATCAATTACATTATTTATTCGTAATACACATGTTTTGTGCATGAAATTATGATTATGATGATCATATCACCATCTCAAGGAAATTGCTACTTGGCCTTCCATAATTACAACATGTTCAAATTGTTAGAAACGTCCAGGCAGATCAAGCGGTTGTATCAATGAGATTATTACCAATTACGGCAGTTATTAAGTTTTATAAAAACACTCGGACAGCAAAATATTGCAGAAATTAAATAATATTTATTCTTTTGTCATTTAAATTAACAGAATGTGGATTTGGGATAAAATGAAAGTACGTATGTACCTTAAAACCGTTTAATTAGGAGAAAACCAATCACCGAAAAACGAAACCTAAAATAAAAAATGGCGTCAAAAGCGTACTGGTTTGCATTTACCGTTGAACAAAAACAGCTGACACTCCATACATATCACATTTGGAGAAAAATAAGTAATACTATTAAAAATAGGGCTTAAGTAGGAAAAGGTAACTTAAAGAGTAATATAAGAAGCTCAATTTTTCCCTGTAGATCCAAAACCTCCCTCGCCGCGTTCAGTGTCAGTCAGTTCCTGGAAAGATTCAACATTCAGAAAACGTCCTAGGATTGTAGATAATTTTTCTATGTTGTACCCCAAATAATAATTCAGCGATTCAAACATTGGTTTTAAGATTCACATTTAATAGACATTTGAAAATACACAAACCACAGTAGAAGAAGGAATATATCAATAAGCTATAGATTAGCTTATCTTCACAAGAAGTTACTTTTGTCTATTTATTTTGCCTTGAAACTATTATATCAATTGCACAAAACACATGTTACTCTATTAAGACTTATCTTGCCAGATTAACAGAATGGAGAATAATGAATATACCACAAAACCAATTATATCAAAAGAAAGAAATATATCTTTAACCTTTTCTTTTCTCTACAGTTTAACAATCTTGGAAATAAGTCAGTACTTTTTGATCAAATCAGAAGTATATGTCATACCTGAACCTCTTCCAATTCTGGATAGTAGATTCTTTCACAAATCAGTTGAGCAATTCGGTCACCTTTCTTGACCTCAAATTCCTTATCAGAGTGGTTGAAGAGCACTACCTTCAGCACACCTCTGTAATCTTCATCTACAACTCCAGCTGTAAAAAACCACAGGTCTATTAGTACCCAATAGTTTCACTTTCAATGTATTATTTGGAAACTCGAATCTGTGATTCTATTCACTTATTGCTACATGCTCAGGCATTTATGGCCTGCTGGCCAATAAGAGCGCGAATTTAAACTCTGCGCGCTGGTGTGTATTTTGGCCAGGTGTAGATAAGATACTGATACACTGTAAGAACAAAAATCAATCCTAACCATGCATGAAAAAGGTCATGTTTTTAATGTATCATTACCATTTATTATATGTGAAAATATTGCTTCTGTTATGTTTCAAATATACCTATATGGTTATTGGTGATTTGCCATATTCCTTCAAAGACGTGATAGAGAACTAATTTCATCCTATGTATAGGCAAAAACCAAGATTTTGTAATTTTTTAACACTAACTCAAAATTGGGCATTTCAGGTTGAATAATAAAGAAACTATGTGACATATGGGTAAGATTGCAATTGATTTTCGTAATTTTTACTCAAATTAAGTGAATGAATGATTGTAATAATAAAAATTACGAAAATATTATACAAAACAAAATGACAGTTATTCTCAGAAAGATATTTTCGATTTAGAACAAAGAATGCGAAAACGATACAGCATGATTGCCTTTTGTGGTTGTTGAGAGACACTGCTGAGGCCCACCAAAAATCTTGCCATAGCTTGTTCATCCTTCGAATTTTCTACGCCTTTGGGGGCTACTGAAGAGCCACATATTGAGAACCTATATCATAGGCATTGATCAGGCTTCAAAGAATTAAATTACTACAGCATCTTTTTAGTTTACAGAAAAATAAGGGCCACTTTACCTGAAAAATGATACAAGCCTGAAACTAAATACATACCCGATTCTCAACTAAGAAGCTCGAACTGAGCCAGATTTGTGAGAAATTAGTATGTTTATTTATAATGGTTATTAAAACTATCATTTAAATAAGGGATTATTATTTGACCTATATTGATTTGAAAGATTATTTGTAAAGAATTGCTCTCATACTGATAATAAATATTTTGGAAAGTTGACAGTTCAGGCAAGTTGTTCTATACGCAATGTACCAGGAGTTTTTTACGCTAGACACAACTTTAACATAAACTGGAAACAAAAACTATACTATTTCTTAGAATAACTTATTTTATTTTGTATATTATATTCGAACTTTTTATGATTACATTCACTTAATTAGAGTACAACTACTAATTCAGTCACAGTATCACATATATCTCATGTAGCTTTTTCATTATTGGGACTGAAATGTTCAATTTTGGATTGTTGATGGAAAAAGTAGGGAAATTGAAAAATAATGAAAACTATTAATTTCCGCCTATACAGACACACAGGTTCAAAATAAATGCAACAAGCAAAATTTTGGTCAAATTCGGAACATCATTTTTTATTTTTTACCGGATTTCATTGATTACTTTGGTAGACAACTAGTACAGGCATTGGTTTTATTGTTTATATATGGAGTCACAGCTTGACTTGTTGTACAGGGTAAATCCAAATTTTGTTTCATTACCCCAAATTTGAGTCACTCTGTAGTGTGACTCCAGTTGCCAATCAGACCACAATGCTTTCCATTATCAAAAACCACATTTTCTCTAAGATCAGGTTTTTTAACCACATCAATATATACAGTGGTTGACATTTTAGATGCAAATGAGGATTTTACCACAAAATGTGCATCTTCCTTTCACAACTTTTTTAATTCCCATACAAAGTTAAAAACTTTGACATCAATTTGTACAGGCATGTATTGCCTTTCTGTGCTAGGTTAAAATTTTTTTATATCTTCATTGTTTCTGTTGTTACACTGGCGTAGAAAATGAAAACTTTTGACTTGATTTAAGAACACTCAGTATAATAACATGTTCTACCCTTTTGAACTACAGTGTCAGGGCCAATAACCATATTTCCCTCATCCTCTAATTTTGGGTTGATGAACATTTGAGCTAGAATTGTTCTTTTGCAGAATGAATATAACACAACAGTTCATAGATTTTAATCAGTATTATACTCTTCAGGTAGATGCCTTGACCTGTCACAAAATAGCAATTAGACGAACACATCAGCAATTGGAAGATGTCTGCCAATTCACCTGAAGATGACTTAACATGCCTTATCAATCAAAACATTGTGTATCTCAAATTCTTTTCTGGCAACAGAATTCTGACATACATTTGACCTTTTTTACAAACTTCAAAATTAATCAATCTAAGAAAGTTTGTAAAAAAAAGAAAAAGAAGGCACAACTTTGACCAAACCAGTGATGCAGACTTTAATGTATTATCTAACTGAAGCAGCCCCAAAAGCAAAGCCCATAATGAGGTGTTCTCAAACCTATTTCATCCAGAGCATCCCAATGTATTACTCTAGATATTTAAGTTTCAAGTATTTACAAAAACACAAATTTGAATTTTCACCAAATCAATTCATGGCCCCCAATTTCCACTTGGCTCCCTACCACCCTATCCATAGTCCCTAGCATCCACAGGGGGACGTTATCTCCCACTTTGAGAGAGGATGCTCTAGAGGCAAAAGATTGGTCATACTGGCCAGTATAGAGCTCGACTGAGTTTAAATGATAAGCATAAGTCTAGCCGGTCCATCTGGCTAGAACGCGCTGAGAAAAGCAAAGTTGGCATATCGGCCGAAAGAGCATTTTAACTTACCTCCAACGTCTATAAAGTTCTTGACAGCCAAACCCGATCTAGGAGCGATTCTCCCATAACAGCCTTCAGGTAATTCTACCTTCAGACCCGTATCTACCAGGGCTTTGTCCCTTGCCGGCACTACAGTGTCGTAGGCGCTTTTTAAATCATATCCAGCTGCTTTAAGGGAGCCTTTTGTTGGTGGAAAAGCATCAGGAACTACTTTGGTGTATTTTAATACAAGCTGACCGTTTACTGAAGGCATTTTCCTTAAATTTTTCGATAAGTTTCGCGATGAACTAGCACGAAGTCGTTGGCAACCGTTAAATAACGCGGGAATGTCCAAAATTGCGCCAATTTTTGACATTCTTTAATTTTTGGCATTATCATCACGGAACAGGCGCGCTTTTTGGATGGATTTGAAATTAGAAATTCAAAGGAATAATCTATAACTCTTCCATTCAAAAAATGAACAAAAAATTGGGTCAAATAATGAGAGAAACAGCTGATAGGGGTGGATGGTTGGCTAACCTTAAATTGAATGAAGAATAAATTGCAGAGCAATACGCACAGATGTATTGAAACGGATATCCCGATAAAGCTGCGAAATAGAACGCTAGTTCCGTGGAAATAAGGAAATTAGAAAATCATTTGGAATAATAGATTTCACGTTCTGCTTTTATTTTTTCCGATTGAGATTTCAGAATTCAGATTCCACACACAAAACATACAATATATTACAATTACACAGCTGTTTTATCACAGACAGATATAACTAATGATGGGCAAAAATAACCGGTTTTACTAAATTAATTAACCGGTTATTTCTTAATCTACGGTTAAGTGGTTATGGGTGCAATAACGGGAAAGAATATTTTTTTCTACACAAATTTCAGTAAATATGGGCTTAGTGAATTTTACGGCTATGTTGTTTTTGTTATCCTTGATCTTAATTGGTGAAAATCATGGACCCTTTGGCCGTAACATTCAAATCAAAAAGACAGTTATTTACCTCCAACGAGTTGCAAAACACGATGAAGTACAAAAACGACAGCAAAACTTTATAATTAAAAAGGTTATTGGAAGTAAATCAGTCAAGTCCAGTACACTCTTAAACAAGATAAAGGTTTATTTCATCCCAATACTTCTAGGCTGGAAATAGTGCACGAAAATACACCCAATAACACTAATTCTTAAACAATTTTAAGGTCAGTCTCTACTTGTCATTATAAGTGTAAGGTCGGCAGTAATAGTGGATGGCAGTATATCAATAACTCCCTATTATTCTGTAACTTGGGTTCATTGATCAGAAAAGTCCTAAGTTGTGGCTCTAAGTGAGCGTAAGTCTGTACATACATGCCGCTCTGTGTACGTTTACACCGTGTGGTGTGCTACGAGGGATGTCTTTTAAGTTTTGCATATGGAAATAAAACAACACGGTAGGCAGTTTTAAATGACTTATTGTTTTTCGAAGAATTCTCCACGAAGATTAATACACATCTGCATGCGCTCGAACCAATTTTCGAAGCACTTATTCCACTCGTTTGCTGGCAGATTCAAATCAGCATTTTTGAATGCGTCAACTGCTTCTTCTGGTGACTGGAACCTTTGACCAAGCAGTCTGTTTTTAATTTTCGATAAAGTAAAGAAATCGTTAGGAATTAGATCGGGACTATATGGAGGATGGTCCAATAATTCCACTTTTCTGCCGTTAAATACTGCCTTGTTTTTTAGGCTGTGTGCGAGCTTGCATTGTCTTGGTGGAGGATGATTCTTCTTTCGGGGTTGATTTTTCGAAGCTCTGTGATGATTTTTGGCAAACAAATGGTGATATACCAATCCGCAATAACTATGGGTAAGACGTCAATGGCAATAACCCTTCTTTGCTCATTGAGAGGAATTGTTGCAATATGACCCGCTTTTGACACAAATGTCGCGACCATCTTATTCGAAACACTTCGAGAACGGATTACTTTTGTTGGCTTTTCTTCACCTTGGAACACCCAAACAGCCGACTGTCGTTTATTTTCTGGTTCATAAGAGTAAATCCACGATTCATCACCACTAGCAATGCTGTACACATTTTTTGAGTTTCCGGAATTGAAACGGTCAACCTTTTTTGACACCAATTAACCCTGGCTGCTTTCTGCTCATCAGTCAACAGGTGGGGTATCCAACGAGAAACTAATTTTCTTACTCCTAATTCTTCATGTACATTTTTTTGAATTGAGGTCTTTGAGATCTTCAAGGACGCCTCAATCTCGTGATAAGTCACATGTCTATCTTCAAGGATGAGTTTGCGCACAGCATCGACATTTTCCTGGGTGACTGCCGTTTTTGGTGCACTCACCCTGGGATCGTCGCTAATACTCACCCGTCCACGTTTGATTTCTCCATACCAACGGGGAAATTGTCGACTGATGTGGCGCTTCGTTGCCGAAAACAGACAGTAACTAAGCAAGGCAATCTTGTTGCAATAATTGTCTCTGAAAGTTCTAATAAATTATGGCGCTAAAATGTTCTCGGTTGAGTTCCATTTTTCTAATCACTTGGTGACACCTAAAAATTCACTGTAGTGTGAACACTGCACGTATTCTTGTGAAACTTTGAATTTAAGTTTACTAAAGAGTGAGGTTAGGATTCAGCACTGACGTTCAATCCGCGCGGCCTACTATGTTTCTATATGCAAAACTTAAAAGACATCCCTCGTATGCGCTATCTAGGCATGGTGTAAGCATGGGCACTGTACTTTGTTGGATGAACAAAAATTAAGGTTATTTTCCGGATAACCGCTTAAATTTGGTTGGGTTGGCCGCTGCTGGTTAAAATTATATATAATAACCAGTTAACCTATAATGGGTTTTTTATCAGTAACCACCCATCCCTAGCTATAACACAGAACAGGACAAAAATACACTATACAATTTATACACAGAAATCAAATCCAAGGGAATAACCAAAATTTCTGTGTTATGTGCTGCGGTTATAATATGTCAAGATGACACACGGGTTGATGACGTCAGTTACACGAATCGCTTGAACGCGTTGGTTTTAACCGCGGTTTTGTTGCAAGTTGTTTATTTTAGAAAAGCGCGTATATAATCTCTGATTATTTCCATTATCACTTAATAATCGGTGCTTTTTCATCTACAACTGTATATGGAAAGTTTAAATAAGAAACCTTTCATAATATTCATGGGAGAAATGTTTTTTTCAGATTTTTTTTCATTAAATGATGGAACCATGGCTTTGTAGCTATGATAACTTTCAATTCTCTAAATTTTTCCGCATGTCAAAGAAAACATTTATTGATTCAGCAGAAATGATGAAAAAAGAAATTTGCAAAACCGTATACAGGTGGATATCATCTAGTGAGTTTATATGGCCATATTTTAATATTCTTCTAGTATATGGCTACACAGGATACTTTGTTAAGCATAGGAAGTACATTTATGGTAAAACTGAAGTCAGCCTGTATCAATTTTCTCAAAAATGAAGTTGAAGTACAATAACAATATCCAATACCCGGCAAAATTCTAACTTGTCACATTTCAAATAATAACCAGAAATATATAAGATAAAACTACTCTACTCTAAAACGGATCTTATAACCAAACTGATAACTACACTCGCTTGAACGGATTGGTAAATACCAACCCAAAATGGTAAATACCATTTCCATTTGGTTATCCGCTTGAATTTGATTAGAGATACAGAACAGGTTGACATTAATCTTAGAACTAGAAAAAGAAGATAAGCTAATGTATGAAAGAAGCATAGATAACAGCCATCTTGGAGGCGTGACATTCAGAGTGTGGGAGAGGTCAGCGTTGTAGCGTCACGCCTCTTTTTCACTAGTAAGTAATGGGCTACCGGGTGTTTCAAGTACGACTGTCACCATTGGGATCTCGGAACCGCAAAGTCGCTTAAATGGGGGCAAAGTTGCGTATTTAAGTAGCTAAAAAAATCATGCGTAGAAAGTTTCAAAATGCAAAGTACTTCAGGAGAGAGACGGAAAAACCGAAATTTCAAAAAATGGTTTTATTTTTTTCAAACTTTATTGGTAGTGGGATTTCAAAATAAATTGCACATTAACATTGCCACTTTTCCATAGTTGCCTGTCTTTTTGGTCGGACGGACGAAAGCATCATGTTTGGTTATTAACAATAAATACATTGCTTGTAGGTATTCCTGTAATTTTATAAAAAAATATTAATAAAAAAGTGCTATCTTGCCAGTACTCGGACAGAAGGTGCTACTAGTCGGCCGGCTCGTTTAAAATTGTCAGACATCATTTCATTGGCAAGTCTTAGACAGAATTGTATTTAAAAATTTGTGATAGTAGAATATGTAAGTATGAATTTCAAATCAGCTGTCATTAAGACTTTGAGGAACAGGAATCAAACACACTCATACTAAATCCTTTCAATACAGATATTTTGTCAAAAATTCGAACGAACAACATAAAAATGAACGAGAAACTAATTTTTTCCTCCAGTCCGGTCCTACACTGTCGACTTTGAACTACCAAGGCGTGTACTCACCAAAAATCTTTCGTAAACGATAATATCAAATGTTTATAAATGTTCGTACATGGTTATAAATGCCTACAAATAAGTATGTTGTCCTCACCGAACAAACATATTCAAGAGGCGGTCGCTTCTCACGCGATTTGAACGTGGTTGTAGACGTTCCGCGGGTGTGTCGGGTGAAAAATTAAATTATATCAAAAATGCCTTCGTTATACTGTATAAGTTGATAGAACAGAAAAATCGCAAAAAAATAAAAAAACGCAAATTTTGAGTGTGAGGTTCAGTGAATGTAGATTGTGATATAAAAACAAATGGTAGAAATGGTTTCTTTAAAAACTTTACTCGAATGTCACCAGATGATTTTGATTTTCTGCTTTCAAAAATAACTTCCGAAATATCCAAGTGCAATATTTACAAACTATAGCCTGTGTGTTCCTCCTGAAATTAGATTGGCAATATTAGACGCTATATCATTCCAAACATCTTGTTAACTAGTTTTTATGTGACTGAAGCCATCTTTTGGATCCCATAATTCTGGTTTGGTCTTTTATACAGGGTGACTTCGAAGTTGAGTCATTTATTTTAACAGTGAGTAGATCTGATCAAAAGAAATGTTTTTTTCCTTTACCATTTTTCTGGTAAAATTAAAGTAACAAAGTTATAGCCCTTTGGAAGTTTGAGTACCGCCCTGTCCCAATATCATGTGCTCGTGTTTGGCAACAACGGATATAATCCGCCTTACCGGTTCATCGCATCGGAAACAAAAAAGCGAAAGAATTTGGAACGTTGTTTTTACAAGTATTTCATTCATTTGTATACAGTCAGTGTTAGTGAACAGTGGTATCTGTTGCCTGGCTCAAACGAAATAAAAAATGGCACATGTTTATGCGGATCGGTTTCCCAATCAAGTGCAACCAACCCCTCGTGCCTTTGTTAATGTAGTACAACGGGCTCGTGAATCAGGTGACTTAAGACCTCACAGGGGACCTCACGATCAAATACAGGTCCGCACTGAAATACTTGTCGGGAGGATACTTTATAAAACAAGGTAAAATTTTTTTTTTAATTTTTTTTTATTTTTACACACATATTTTGGTTTATCTTCCTTCTACAATCATTATCTGAAAATTAATGACTCAACTTCAAAGTCACCCTGTATATATATATATATATATATAGAGGAAAGGAACCAAATTTGAGATACCTAAGTACTTTTTTTGAAAAGAAAAAATAGAGTAGGTACT